TGTGGATGGAACTCCTTGGTGTGTCGTGAAAGCAACCACCTGGACAAGGTCTAAGCCTCCTTCAAACAGGCCGTGTCAAAGGGGAAGCCCTATGGGTTTACTTGGGAGGCTCCTCTAAAATCCTCGCAAACGTGGCTTGCCCGAAAATTGGTGCTTCGAATCGCACAACCAATCCGACCCACCCATCGCGCAATCCCGGTCAGTTCGGGGGCCTCGAAAAGAACAGACCCCTCCAAGGAGGTTTTGGGAGTGTCGGCATCAAACTTGCCCGTTTTCAGTAGTCCCCTCACGGCCTTCCCTGAGAAATCAGAAGCAAGGCTTTACCAGCCAGCCACAGCTTTTTGATGGTCCATACGTTTGGACTTACCGAAAAGCTCGGCTTTTCAACCAAACAATCATGTACCCTGGGGTTCAGGCAGGCCAACATTATAACAACATGCTTGGGTTCATATAACCGTTCTTTACCATTCAGGAGTGTCATCATCCGAGTTGGGTCTCAAGGCCATTCTTTGAATGGGGGTTGAAGCCTAGGGTGTAGTTATTGCCTGTGGTCCATGTTACCGAGTCCACTGCCTCGAATCTCCGACCCGCTTGGGTTGTGTACGTGGTTGTAAATGGGGTAGGTGGGGTTAGCTCCCTTACCATAGTTGTAACTTACTATGTTGAACATCCTAGCCGTATCTGTCAATGCGGCCATCTGGCAGCTCCATCCACAAGGCTGACATCTGTGATCAAGAGCCCCCGCATCTTCCACGTTGGAATAGAAACCTTGGCGAATCGAAGCTGCGGATGCCCGAAACCAACCACCATGTTCAGAGCCAAGCACGCCCTGCGATTTCCCGCGCGCACCAGACCTGTGTGCTTGGATGTAGATGGTTGATTTGCAATCTAAGGGCCACCATATGAAAAAACACGCAAGCATACCGAGACGCGGTTGGTAGACTCCTACCTGCCCGTTTAGATCCAAAGGGTTGCGATACATGAGCGAACCCACCGACAAGCGGAATGGTATAGAACTATACACTATGCCCAGCGAGTAGAGGCTCGGCACGCGAAAATTGAACCGCTGCGGAACTCTGAGACGAGGATTTGCGGCCGATGGCGTGAAATAAACAACTATCCCAGCCCTTCTGTTAGCCGCTTGTGCCAGGGGCAAGGAGTGAAAGGATCGAAACCATGGCCTTCCCGCGTTCAACAAAATAAGAAAGGAACAACGAGATGTCGCCCTGGTCTAAGCCAAGCAAAGCTCGTCGCTGCTTGGTGTCTGAGGCGCTTTTTGCACGGTCACTCGTTTGAAAGGCATTCCTCGGTTCCCAAGGTGAATCCTCAGTCCGGTGTTTCTTTTTTTGCAAGACCATACTGGGACGTCGGACCCGCGTGATATGATCCCCCAATATTGGGGTTGATGACTTGGGAAAGCCATATGTTCAGCCAGTATTACGTCCATCTCAGCTGGGTCCCCCTTTTTCTGGGTCCAGATCCGATTGATATTCCCCCCCGCACCCCCAAACCCGACAGCTCGCTCCACTTGGGTCCAAGGCTCCGTTTCATGTTCCCCCCCCTTGTTCCGGACAGCTGAAAGCTATGGCCTTGGTCTCTGCCGCGATAAGGGGTGGTTTGGGGAAGCTTTCAGTGAGAGCTTCGGAGGGTTTACCCTTTCGCCGGGAAAACCGAGGCGGTTGGAGACCCGGGTTTGTGCTTTTGTGTCTCTTCCGGATGGGCAGCGGCAAAGGCAATCCAGGCACATCCAGGCACCACTGGCAGGTGTTACTTCAGGCTTCGCTTCGTGCTTCCTGGGCTGTTTGAATTGGAGGTTTTGAAGGAACCTTCTGCCAAACTTCGTGTGGTGAAGCCCCATGTCGACTTCCATTTGTTGGAACGAGGGTGCAAATTCTACGCCAAAACCTGAAACTAGGGATCCGACTTTCATGGTGAGCTCGGTTTCTTTGTCGGTGCACCATGTCGCCGCGTGGAAACACGAACATGCATTCCCAGGGGCCGATTCTCAGTTGTCAAAAGGACCCAAAGATACAAAACAGCGGACCGACATTGGGAAATCACTTCAGGTCACTTCAGGTCGACTTGCTTTGGGCAAGTCAGAGATGTAGGAAAGAAAGTAAGCAAACATCCAAATCTATGTTCTTTTCTTTCCTGGTGAATCCCCGCAGGATAGATACCAAATCAGTTTGTGCTTTTTTGGAGGGAACCTCCCTATTCCAATTTGCAGACTACCCACGTAGCGGGTCTTTTTATTTCAAGACGCTCGCCAGGCATAGTTGGTAAACTAGGTCCTCCAGATTTGAGAGGTTAGAATAAGGGTACCAATTGTCTATTTTAGTAAGGGGACCCTCCCAACCAAAAAAGTTGGGTGAGAAGGCTTGCACCTAGCTGGGGGACCTAGTTAATAAACCCCTGATTGATGAATACGGGTGTGTCCCTTGTTAACTGGCTGGGGGACCTCGTAAAACTCAACGTCCGTCGAAAAGCGATCGATCGGAGCAGATCCGAGCGGTCGGCAGCTTGGGGAGTCCACCTGCTGCTCACCCAGATGGACCTGTCTCAGCTTCTGTATGCTTCTGTGGATGGTTGCGAAATTCTAAAAGCACCACGACATGAAACTATGGTTGAAGCCATAACTTTGCTTGGCATTTACAGGGAAATCAAATCATTCCTGGGTTTCCTAGATGGTGCAGGATTTCGTCCACCCAAACTATGGCCTGTGATTTTTGGGAGAACAAAAACACTTGCCAATCCATACCATACCATACGGGTGTGTCTTTTGAAAGATAACCCAACCAAAATGGTGATATGGCCGTGGTTGTTGTTTTGCTTTTTGCGAGCTTCCCCGATTTGGGGTTAGTTAAAACAAACAAGGACGATTAAAAATACACGGAACATCAGGCTTTCTAAACAAAAAACTCATATGGGCCTGGGTATCATGTGGGTTTGTGTCAGGAACAGAGTACCCCCCAAAATGGGCTGTTTTCCTTTCGTTTCCTTTAGACCCGTAAACAACAATGACGGGCTTCCTGTTGGTTCTCCTTGAAAACCACAAGAAGAGGCAGGCTGGAAAAAGACACACCCCACATGCCCCTGGGAATAAGCATGCCAAAGAACGGGAGACATAAAAAGAGGAACGAACAAAGAAACGGGCAAACATATATATTTCTATATATATATATATATACCTGGACCCTCAAACTACCCATAAAAATGGGATATCACCCCATAATTTTGGGGGTCAAACCCATTTTTAAGGGAATTTTGAGGGTTCAGGTATATCCCAAGCGGCAAAAACACCTCGCATCCGGGCAATCTTGGCAAATGTGAACTGGAGGGTGTTCTCCCAGCCCGTCAAGGGCAGGGCTCAGAAGTAGCAATCCCCGACTTGCTCGGCTTTGGCCAAAATCCACGACCCGGAAAAACGCCAAGCCTAGGACGTAACTGGACCCTCAAACTACCCCAAAAAAGGAATTCACCTCATAATTTTGAGGCAATAACCCATTTTCAGAGAACATTGAGGGTTCAGGTATGTACTTGCCAAACTAGCCGATGGGTTGCCGGCACTAGCAGGCGAGGAAAAAACGCGCCAAACTTGCTTGGGAAGTTCTCGAAACAGGAATTGGTCCACTGGAATGGTTGATTCCCTTTCGGCTTTCCTTTAAGAACCAACCCAAAGGGGCTTCTCCACCATTTTCAGAAATCCCCTTTTGTTTGTTATTTCAAATGTCCATCCTTCAAGGAATCCTGTTCGAGGTTCGGAGCCACCCTGGCTCATACTCAGGTATCCCCTGTTCCAATGTCCTCTCATGCGCTCTGCTTCGCATTGCCCCCACCCAGCCTTGCAGATCCTGGGATGGTTCGGCATCACATGGTGGGTGAGTGACTATGGCTGACGGGTTATTCGTCCTTTAGGTAACCAAGCGAACACCCTTCAAAAAGCAAAAGGAACATGCCTGGTTACCTGCTGTGGTGGTGGCTGGCATCCACGGAAAGAGGGTAATTACCTAGGATTCTCCCAAAAGCGAAGGAGTACCTGTCAAAAATGGGGCGCGCCTTGCCAACCAAGGGGCTTACATTCGGAAGCATCCTGATTGCTACCGTCGGCTACGCCATCCCTGGCACGCTACGTGGAACATGGCTCACGGCAACTTTGAAGCCACGGGACGCCTATTTACACTATTTTCATCAGACACCAGGGTTTCTTAGGCGGTGATGGATTTCGTCCATCCACACTGGTGCAACCATAAACATCATTGAATCATGTTACGGAAAGGGCACCCTTGCACTCAACCCGTGTTCCTTCTTCAGTGCATGGTCAAATGATCATGGCCAACCCATGATCCCTTCTTAACTAGTGCCTTTGGAGAGGTAAACTTGGTTTGACTTAATACCCAGCGTTTCCGGAAAGAAAAACAAAGAAAAAGAAGGAACAACATGGGTTGCAACCTACCAGGTGAGGTCACCATGCAGTGCGACACCTGTTGCAACACTTCAAGGTGAGCTGCCTTAGGTGGGAAGTATCTGCCTGGACCCTCAAACTACCCATAAAAATGGGATATCACCACACAATTTTGGGGGTCAAACCCATTTTTAAGGGAATTTTGAGGGTTCAGGTGGCCACTATAAGGGACCAAGTTTTTGTGGCCTTCATGTGTGAGTTTGGTTTACCTTTGTCGGCGCGTGATGCTTTTGCCGCAAAAGTATGGCCCTAAGAAGCTTGGGACCGCACAACGTGGCCCTTGTTGAGATCCTTTCGCCCTTCCAATGGAGATCCCTAAAACCCCTCCAATGAAGGGGCCTTTTAGATCAGAGAGGAAGCCCGCAACCAGCGGGGGAACAACTAAACCCTCGCAAAAGGAAACAACCTAGAGTCTCCATGACCCTTACAAAATGGGGTCAAACAAAATCAAGGGGTCATGGACCCATGTTTTTCTCTTGGGTCATGGAGACTCCAGGAACAAACAAAACAAACATGCAGAACAAAACTCCGCCGAGCATCAGCAGCACGCCCCGAGAGCCAACGCCGGCACTGCCTGTTGGCTCCTGCGAGATGGTCTGGGTAACTTCTATTTGCAGCCCATTCCCTCAAAATCCAACAGGAGTTTCCACTTTTTCTGAGTGGATGGCCGAAAATTCGGACTCCAAACTTGGTGTGGTCCGTGAAAAACGGTCTTCCCGAAAAGTGTTTCAAGTCCGTGAACTCAGCTGAGGGAGAAGATAAGACATATTCTCTAGGCTGGAGTCAGGACCCCAGCAAAAAAAAAGTATTTTTTGCCTGGTTAGTGGAAAACAAAGGGACCCCAAAAAAGCGAAAAAGCAAAAAGGGGAACCAATTCTGGGGAAGTTCTGAAGCAGATGGAAGGTCATGTTGACCCCGGATCCAAGTAGACCCCGTCCGATTGAGGGGGGGATCCCTCAGTTGATGAATCCCCACTGAAAGAGGACACACACCCCACAAACATCATGGAGGTCTGTTTTTTGATCTGAAATGGCTCCAAAAGAAGCTCAAATGTGGGTTAAGTCCTACTTGGGTGATTTATTCCACTGCACTTTATATTGCCGACTCATCCCCTGAAATGGACAATATAATTGTTGTTATTTTGGGTTCCGAACACAAGGCCACCGTCCATTTTGAGAAACTCACACAAATTATGCACAAAATACGGGTTTCAAGCAGTTTTGGAACCTTCATGCCTGAGATCCATCCAGCCTTGCAAGGATGCGTTTGGGGAGGCCGGAATCCAGTTGTCAGACCCTTTCGTCAATTGAGCAAACAACCCTTTGATGTTAGTGATCTTAGGTAAGAATGTGATTACAAAGGTTTGCTCAGGCATCGCTCCGAAAAGTGGCTCCTTGCTGAATAATCCCCATGAAGCCGTGCCTCGACACGCCACATCGCCAACCCGCCGACACTTCGAGGTTTCCAACTTGAACTCCGCGGGCAACTTGAAAGAATCGACCGGAAGGTAAACCAGTGCTCCCCATATCTCCCCGTAGAACATCCTCCCAAGCTTCACTCTCAGTTGGCCCTATGTCCGAAGCTGCCACAATTTCATGGGGATACCACCTGTGCCAACCTCAAGTGAGTCTCCTTGGGTGATGTTTTGTATTGACCCCAGATTTAATCAATGGGGATACCCTGCAAAATCAAGTTGGGACTTCCTGATGGGTGATTCTCAAACTAAGAAACCTGCTGGGAAGCTTGCATGTAAAAACCCAATCCATCCCGCCTCACCGCGCAGGCGCTGTGCACGCTGCAGCGAGCGAGCCATGGCCTGAAAATGAGTTCAGGGGCCAGCCAGACCGGCGTCTCTGTCTTTGAGTAGGGCCGTGAAAGCCTATAGGGAAATGTGAAACCAAGAAAAAACCCTCCTCAACCAACGAGAAATCAAAGGAAACCAAAGGGAAACCAAGAGAAAGCCATCATTTTGCCTTCAAGGACCGATCCCTCAAGTTAAACCTCTGCAGCCGACAGCTGAATAGGGTCTCTTTGGCATTGGGCACTTTCCAGGAAATCACCGGCGATTTCGTGGAAATAGCAAATACATGTTTGTTTTCTGCCTGACTATGCTGTGGGACGGGACCTTTTTGTGGTTTACCTACTAAGTTCGACATAGGCAGAATTCGAGGCCATCCCACATGAAGCACTTTTTTGCTGAACATCCCTGCGCCCAGCCCACCCAATCGAATCCCTGCGAAACGGCGAGTTTGTCGACGAGTCCATGCCTGGCCCATCTCGCTCTGACTCTGCTGGTGCAAGCGCCCGGCCTGCGTCGTGGACGGGCTGGTTCGGCTGAAGGGTCTAGAGATGCGCTCTTAAGAGTGCCCGAATCCTTCCAACTCATCCTTCTAATGCGGATGTTCAAGCCAGGGGTACAAGTGACGCAACAGCCACGGTGATGATCTGGATTGGGTATGAAGGGCCTCCCCGGTGACAAAATATTTGCAGAAAAGTGGCCTGCCAGTCTCTGGTATCAGAGAAGTGGAAACAAATACCCCTGGTTTTCCTGCAAGATATACAGGAAAACTTTTGCAAGCCTGGTAACTGGAGGTCGCATCTTCGTGCAATTTCCGAATATGCAGTGTTTTTGCTTCCGCTAGAAGATGGAATGCACCCGAGGACTATCTTCATGTTGGAAAATGCCCCCAATCAAGCAAAAGCCGGGCAGATTGGATGCGGGATGTATCTTTAGTATCGCAAAGCATTCACACGCCAAACAACACAATGGCGCATCCCTCCAAATACGGGACATGGAAACGACATGGACAGTGAGGACCTTGGTGGATTTACCTGCAATTTGGATCCAGATTTGTGTACCCTCTTGTTCTGAAGCTGGATAGGAAGCCTCTTCAAAGGGCTTTCCAACACCCGTGTCAACTTGCAGGACTGTTGAAGAGAGGGTACTGTGTCCCGCCCGTTGGACATACTATAAGGGCCCAAATGATTAGAATGGGGTTGGTATTTTCTCGTCAATATAATCATGGGCCAAATCATGGGGGCTGCGGGGGAGGGAGGGGAGGGAGCTCACCAAACACAGGTGGTCAAGCTCCTTAGGGGCAAAGTGCCTTTGTTGTGGGAAAGCAAAATGACGAATTCGGAATGAAGGGTCGCCTCAAACGACTCTCCGTTGGATTTTGGGGGCCTCATTGTACTCACATTCTGGCATGGAAAGTCACTCTTTCTGTGATACCAGTCTACCATCCAAGACTATAAATCACTTCAAATACTCTCATACGGAAAAAGTGGGTTCCCCAAGACCAACTATTCCACACACATTTCTTCAACATGCCTGCGTCAACCCATGTCAACCCTACGCCCCGGCCTCTGCCAAGCACAGCGAATTTGTGAGCAGCACCGGGCGGCTGTCTGGCGGGCGAAAGCATGGCGCTGGCCAAAGAAGGCAATTGGACACAGGCAGCATATGTGGTTAAATAGTTGGTTGGTTTGTCAGTTGGTCAGTTCATTTGTTGGCTGGTGAGTTAGTTACTTAGATTGTGTGTTTGTTTCTCAAATAGTTGGATAGTTTGTTAGCTAGTTGGTTCGTTCGTTAGTCGCTTGGCTGGCTAGTGAGTTGGTTGGTTAATTGGTTAGTTAGTTCGCTAGTTGGTTAGTTAGTTATTTAATCGGTTTGTTGGTTGGTTGGTTGGTTGGTTGGCTGGCTGGCTGGTTGGTTGGTTGGTTGGTTTGTTGGTTGGTTGGTTGGTTGGTTGGCTGCTTGGGTGGTTGGGTGATTGAGTGGTTGGCTGGTTGGGTCAAGCTGCAATGATTGCGCCGAAATGTCTCCAAATTGGGGGGACACCAACAAAAGGTTGGTGTCCTTTTGGTTTCCTTTGAAACCAACACCAAAAGGGCACCCTCAAATGGCTTGTTGGGGGGGGGGGGGGGTGGGGGTTCAAAATTAGCGGACCTCCAAAATGGATGGCTTTCCTTTGCTTCCACTTTCAAACCAGCCCAACAGAGGCACCCTCAAAAAAGGCTTCTCCAGTTCAATGGATCGAACAAGAAGCCGTTTGGTCAAAGTATCCAGTAGTATGTGGCTCATCTGTGAGAAACAAGGCGGACTCAATCAATTTCAAACACAAACATCGAGGGGCCGGAACCCTAATCATACTCTACGCCCCTTATGTCAACCAAAGGCATACTCCCCTAGATCAACTAGAAAGGATGGACGCTTCTGGGTTCCGCATTGCCAAGCTTTGGAAGATGTTCGTTCATCGTGGTCAAAATGAATGGTCATTTGCGGTGCTTGGACCCTCAACCTACCCATTAAAAAAAGGGTACGTCAGGCCATTGTTTTGGCGCGATAACCCCATTCTTGAGGGACATTAAAAAAATGAACCCTAGAACCTGAAGGGTCACTTTTTAACTCGGTGCTCGAGCTCACCAAGCAGGGTCGTGTGGTCGTGCATGAGTCATGTGGGGGTGTCCAGAGTTGAGGGTTTAAAGGCTAGGCCCTCCAGATTTGAGAGGTTAGAATAAGTTGGTACCATTTATTTTTTCTGATTTGTCTATTTTAGTAAGGGAACCTCCAAAAAAAAGAATCGGTAAAAGGGCAGGAGTGGGAGACCTAGTTAATGTCCGAAGCCTTCCTTAACGGAGAGCCGATGATGCCACGGGGGCCGATGATGCTTTCTTTGTGTGGAGTATTGCCCAAAAAAACAGCCTCCCCATTGATGAACCAACAGTTGATTCATTTTCTGGGTTCTCCTGAATTGCAGGGCCTCCCTAACATCACCCCTGCCAAAAATTATTTAGCCCGTAAAGTCTTGCACCCCAAGAGTTCGACATTTGAAGCCACCAACCAAAAAAACGGAAACCCTGCATTCACGCTGCATCGATCCACAGCACGCATCGATCGCTGGGGAGTTGCCGCCTCCACTCTCTGCGACACTGGCGCCACCTTGAGAGGGGGGAGAGCAACAGCAAAGGACCTAAACGAGTAGGGGAAGCAATCGGAATTTGGCTTCAACCGTCTAAACTTGGTAGCAATCTAAATGAGAACGGGGCAGCACCTAAATGTGGCTCAAAGAACCACCTTCGTCAAGGGAAGCAATCAAATTTTCGGCTTCAACTGTACAAATGAGAAGCGGAAACAGACACAACCTTATCCAGGCTGAACCTAACAGCATATGATAATGTTTATGGCATCTTGTTTCTTTCAAAAAAGACCTACATGAGAAGCACTTTACCTACGGCGCCCTATGGTTCAAAAACCGTTCCTACCCACGGGCAACCTCCATCTGCTTAAATCCCTTGGAAAAGATGCACACGTTTCCAGTAGTGATAGATTCCGTCAACCAACAGGCAAACAACACGTTCTTCAGCACCTGGAAGCTAAAGGGAATCCACCAAGGACAAAGTAACACCTCCTGAATGGGTAAGGGCATGACGAGCCCCGGTGGATATCTACAGCTGAATGACATTGGGTTTTGGTAAGTAAGTCCCGTTTCCTGACTTTGGTGAGTGGCCCATGTCATCCGCTTTACTTCAAAGGTTAACCTTTTGAGGCCGTACAAATGGACCGTTTTCAGGTGTCTCTGTTTGGTTCGTCAAAAGAGAGCCCGCAGCACCACCAGTTTTACTGCTTCTCATTCCTGGAGTGCTTCAAACCTAAAACCGGATATGAAGGATGGGCATGGGGTTACCCTATTTTTTTTGACAACCACAGCCATCTGATTCTGGCCACGGTACTAGGCTGGAATTAGGACCCCAGCAAAAATAACATAAAGTTGCCTGGTTACTGGAAAACAAAGGGGACCCAAAAAAAGCAAAGAAGGAAAAAGGGGAGCTAATTCTGGGGAAGGGTAAATCAACTGCACTTTAGAAGGGACCTCTTGTCAGAGGTGTCGGACACAAGCCCGGTGCTTCGCCTCCCAATTTGCGCGAGGGAGCAAAATGGGGCACACTCCACCCGTATTGGGCAGTTTTTGGACTGGCGGGGTTTTTAAAGGGCCCACCCGGTTATCCCATGGCCAACATGTAAGATTCCAAGTCTTGCGCTGCTTTAATGTGCGTGTGTGTGTGAGTCAAAATTGGGGCTTGGACCCCCATGTTTGTCCGTGTTGTTTAAACGAGGTGCGTGTTGGTTTCCAACCTAAGGGTACCCTAAGAAGGACACCCACGCACACTCTCTTATCACTCTATTATTTGCAAAGGCGGATGCTTTTCATCAGAAATTCAAACCCCGGACAAGGATTCTTAAGTGGAATATCGGAGAACAAAAAACAACAACCTTCAGACTCACAGCAGTCGTCCCATCTAACCGGAACTCGCCAAAGCGCCATGAGAGAAGGGGCAGCGGTTGGTTGATGAAGGGGGCGTCCTTTCCGAGAAAAAAAAAAGAAGAAGAAAAAAGGCGAACCACGTACCTCCATTTTGCTTAAGTCCCCATATTGGTTTGCGCATAGGTCCCCTGAAAAAGAAAGTCCTGTGGTCATAAATTCACCTTAACACCAAAAAAGGAAAATCATACTGAACAAGAAAGTCTTGGATGTGTAGACAACTCTCCTCACTATGTTTTGCGCTTGGGGACGGGTCACCTGTTCAGGTCATGGGATTCCACCGTGCTTCAGCTTGGATTTTTCTAGGGGAAGTATGGCTAGGCCACAACAACAAGAAGCTCCTACTCACTGAACTGTCCATCCCCAAAGCAAAATGTGCCTTCCCCCGCAACCCCCCAAACCTCCCCAACCTCCAAACCCCTAAACCCGCCCCCCCCCCCCAAAAAAAAAGAAGAAGAAACAAAACGAACCCCCAAACTCCCCCAACCTCCAAACCCCTAAACCCGCCCCCCCAAAAAACAACAACAACAACTCCAAACCCCTAAACCCCCCCCCAAAAAAAAAAGAAGAAGAAGAAGAAACAAAACCAACCCCCAACCACCCGCCAACCGGAAGCCGCCCTCCGCCGCCGTCCCTCCCTCCCTCCCTCTCTGATGCCCCGCCTGGGCTCGCCTGGCGGAGTTTCGGGAAAAGCCAATGGGAAAACATGATACGCACGCGCACACACACACACACATTCACTCACAAATATGTATGTATATATATATATATATATATATACATATGTGTGAAGAGGCACCTCTATGATCTACATATGTTGCGTATATATATATATATGTTCATGTATACATAGCATGCATGTATATGTATGTATGTATGTATGTGTGTATGTATGTATGTATGTATGTATGTATGTATGTATGTATGTATGTATGCATGCATGCATGCATGCATGTATGTATGTATGTATGTATGTATGTATGTATGTATGTATGCATGCATGCATGCATGCATGCATGCATGCATGTATGTGTGTCTGTATGTATGCATGCATGCATGCATGCATGCATGCATGCATGCATGCATGCATGCATGTATGCGTGTCTGTATGTATGTATGCATGCATGCATGCATGCATGCATGTATATGTATGTCTATGTATGTATGTATGCATGCATACATGTATGTATGTATGTATGTATGTATGTATGTATGTATGCATGCATGCATGCATGTATGTATGTATGTGTGTATATGCATAATACCCATAATATGGGATACCGCATCAACGAGCGTCAGGATAAAATATCAACGAGCGTCAGGTTGTAACTCCGACACACAACGCATGATGAATGTTTAGACCAACTGCCACTAAAACGGTTTTCCCAGAAGAGGGTCACTGTTACCGGATGGACGGTTCCCAAGGCATATATATATATATATATATCAAAGGCATGTTCAGCAAGGTTGCTTGGTGTCGAGGTGATCCACCTCTTGCATGAGGAACACAGGCGGGGGTCCCTCCAGAAGTGATGATTCCCCACTAAACCCCGGGAGACCTTGGAAAACAAACAGAAACCGTCTTTGGGTCTCGCACCCCGCCCCCCCCCCCCCGGGAACCGGCGATGTTGCTACAATTTGCCAAGCTCAGCCAACAAGTACAAACCCCCGTCTTTCAGCGGCCCTCTCCACCCCCCCCAAACCCCCCCCCCAAATGTCCCCCGCAACCGAATGATGGCTTTGCCCAGGCCATTTGGCCACACCCGGCCCACGCGACTGGGCCAAGTTTTCCGGGGCCTCCTCGCTGGGCTCTTCCGGCAGCGGCTCCTGAAGTCCGAGGCGGGCGGAGTCTCGTTGGGTTTCAGGGGCCCGGAACGGGAAGGTGAGGCTCCCAATTGAAAACCCTAGGTCCTCCAGATTTGAGAGGTCTGAATAAGGATACCAACGGGTTTGTATGTTCATCTTAGTAGGGGAACCTTCCCCCCCCCCCAAAAAAAAAAGTTGGTAAAAGGGCACTACTGGGCGACCTTGACAGATATCCGGAGGACAAGTGTCTGCCAAAACGATGGCGGGAAAATCATAAACACAAGAACACACAGCATGGCCGACGCCGAAGTGTCCCAAAGCCAAGGTGGAGCTTGGAGCTTCAACCGGCAAGAGGAGAAGTTCGGCAAACAACTGCCTGGCAATGCGGTCGACCCCCAGCTAGGGGGCTGATTGCTGGAAAAGGCATAGAAACCCGCTCGGCAAAGCACAATGCTATACAAAACTATGCTGTATGCATGGGCTCGGTGCATACAGCTAGGCATTTGAGGAATATGTCAAAGGCACATAGTCGGGCTGTTCTTCCAAAACCCTTTGAACTGCTATTGATTCTTTCCTGGGCGGAGAAAATCAAACCATCCGCCGTTGCTTGTATATGTAGAGATCCTAAAACGCACCCCCCCCCCCAGTTTTTCATCCCCCCCCCCCCCCTCCCCCTCCCCCCTCCCCCCCCTCCCTCCCACCACCCCCACCACCCCCACCTCCCCCAAAGCGGCTCAACCAAGGCCCGCTCCTCCGACTCCGGCTCCAGCGCCTCCGCGACCTCCGGCTCCGCGTCTTTCTGGGCCGCCAGCTGCTCTGCGAAGAAGTCCGCAGGGCCCAGCTGGAGCGGGGGAAACGAGAGGCGAGAGCTGTGGGGGGGGGGGGGCGCAGGTGGAAAATGGTGTCCTACCCTCAAACCTCGGCGGCTAACTCTGCCAACCCCTGCAGAAAAGTGAATAACTGTTGGAGAAATTCGGAAAACTCATTAGTTGGCAAAAGGTTGTTCAGTCCTAACATCCATTGGCAAAATGCACCAAAGTCCTGGACCCTCAAACTGCGCAACAACAGGGAAGCCATGCACCCAGCATATGTTTGGGTTGCTGTAACCCATTCTTAAAGTTGGAATTTTGAGGCTTCAGGTCGACCCTTTCTCACTTTCTGAATGGATCTGCCAGAAAAAGTCCAAACTGTTTCCAGCAGCTAAAATGCTCTCCTGAACCCTCAAAATTCCCTTAAAAATGGGTTTGACCCCCAAAAAAATTATGGTTGGTGATATCCCATTTTTATGGGTAGTTTGAGGGTCCAGGCTGCCGCAAAAGTGCTTTTGGTGACCCAAAACCCAAAAAGACTCGGGTCCCTTCTTGGGCTTGTATCACTTTGGGGCAGGGCTCCTTCCACGCGTCTCCGGAGGCCTCACTGGAGGCTCCACGCTTCTCCCGGTGTGTTATCCACAAATTTCTAGGCTGGAAAAATCGGACCCCAGCAAACATTTGCTTTCTTGTTGGCCTGGTGAGTGGAAAACAAAGGGACCCCCCAAAAGAAGCAAAAAAGAAAAGTGGAGCTAATTCTGGGGAAGAAATGCCAAGTGCCGATCAATCGGTGGGTGCCTCACCGAAACTTATATCTTATGTGTGTTTATCCAGATATGTTGATCAAACGGTCAAGTAACACATGTGTCATGTATGACATAACATGCAGGGTGTTGCGCACATACACAAATGCCGAACCTGAGCTAACCCAAAACAAAGGAACCTTCGTGCTGGGCGAGCTCAGTTTACTGCCTTGAGCAAAAACAAGAGAAAGGGAGGAAAACGAGAGAACACAAAGGGAAAATGATGGCCACGCTTTTAAAGCGAACATCTACGGAACCCCGGGGGGAGAAAAAAAACCGTCTTCGTCAATCACAGGGACCGAGGTACCGTGTGAAACATGACGCCCGAAAGAAAAAAACATCGCGCCTCTGCCACTTGTCGCAGCTCTTCCAGCGCGTTCCTGGGAAGCCCCATCTCGGTTACGAAATCTGCGAAGCCCTGCTAAAAGTGAATAACTCTTAGTGGCTTAATCCGGAAAACCCATTGGTTGGCAAAAAGTTGTTCAGTCCTAACAGCCAAGCAAAATGCACCAAAGCCATGGTTGGTGTCCCGGCTTGCGACCCGTTGACCGCTTGCTTTACCCGTTGAACCAGGCACCAAATGTCGCGTCGCTCGCAATCAAAACCGATCGGTATAAGGGTCGTAATCCCAGAACCATGCGGATCAAGAGCTAAGCAGGCGGAGATCCGCATCTATTTATGGTTGGGACTGTCCATTACTAATCTTCACTTACCCAGGTTTTGAGTGTGACTCAGTTGAAACCCAATCGTATCGTCAAACAGCGCAGTTTTGCCCCGAGAGCTTGCCATACAAAAGGCAGGTTATTTAATATGTCCCTCCCAACAGCAGACGATCCAAAGGCCAACGCCAAGAACCAAATCATGGACTAAACCATACCAACATCACCCAGCAAAACAACACAAAACACCAACCAGAACAATCCAAACGACAGATGCTTCCACTTGCTTAAGGCCCCTGGAAAAAACAAAAAAAAAAGAAATATTTCCAGTAGTGATCAATTCCTTTTAAAAACCAACAGGGGAAAATAACACATATTCTTCAACAAATGGAAGGATGTATGCTTTTGGGCCCCGCACCCAGGCTTCGGCACATAGAAGAGGTGCTCGAGCTCATCACCGCCTGCGACTCGCCGCTCTGAATCCAGGAAGCACGGTCGTGTGGTCGTGCATAGTGAGTCATGTGGTGGTGTCAAGAGTTGAGGGTTTCCAGGCTAGGTCCTTCAGTAGAGAGGTTAGAATAAGGGTGCCCTTTTTTTCTGTAGTTTATTTTAGTAGGGGAACCCTCCAAAAAAGAAGGGTAAAAGGGCAGGACTGGGAGACCTAGAAGGGAAACCAAGATGAACACCAACACTTCGGGGGTCCCTGAACAAAGGCACACCCATGTAGTACGTGGGTGGCATGGTTATGTTGAGTGTTCAGATCTGGCGGAGAGGGATAATGGTGCCATAAGGGGCAGGCAGCGGTAGATGTTCGTTTCATCGGGCAAAGGCTCAGTCAAATGTAAGCACAATATTGAGGGTGATAGATTTCCTTTTTCTAGCAAGCACGGACCCCTAAGCCACAGTACATCGCTAGTGAGAGCTTGGGCTGTTGGCTCGTATTTGGGTATTCCTCTAAAGATTCTTTTGAATCTAGGGCTTGGACCCCGAGCAAAACTTGGATGATCGCAAACGGGTAAGTAGGCTGCTCAAGGAGGCGGTGATTCCTGCAGAACTAGTGATTCATGACGACCAGACTGTTTGGGTGGCCAAGAGCAGTGTCCCCAAAATGCGTCCCGTTTTCAGGGGTGCCAAGAACATCGCCAAGCCAAGTTGGCCCAACTCCTTGATTTGACCTGTTTCTAGGGGGTGATTCTCGAGTTTGCAAATTCTGTTCGATACACCGGCTGCTTCCCGAGAAGGGTGGCTTCTTGGCAGCACATATCCTTTAAACAAAAATTCGAAGTTGCCCCATGGAAACATCAAGAGACAAAGTCGGCCCTTTTGGACCTCCTAATTTTCAAGACCCACCGAGGAAAAGCACAGGAACAGTACCTGAGGCCCCCCTGTTTTTGCAAGACTGTGCGATGAAAGCAAGCCACTCGAAAGGGGTTGCGTTCTTCCCGATAGAAGCTCGAAAGGAGAAAACCGCCGGCGGACGAGAAACTCGAACCAAGCCCTCTTTCATTTTGACAATTGGAGTCAGGTAGCCAATGTTTCATGAAACAGCTTCACTCGCAAAGTAAGTCCCAATTTGAAGGGCGGGGTGTCTCGGGGGGTCCAGAAACACCCTGCAAAACCTCGAATACCGTTGGGAGAAAGGTATTACACCCAACTCCCGAGTTATTTTGATTGATTTTGGCTATTTTTTCCCCGGGGGATGTTGAGGTACCTTGCCCCCACTGGTATTTGAGGATTTCCAACTCCCGAGTTATTTTGCCTGATGTTGGCTGACTTTTTGCGGGCGGAGATTTTGGGGTCCAGAAGCTTCAAATGTCGATCTCAAAGCATCCTGTTCCACCAAGAAAGGCAAATCCTCAAAGTAGGACTTGCGACATCGATCCGAAGCGCGAAAGGAAAACATGTGCGATGAAACATGTGGGGGTTTGCCCTATACGGGAGACAAGGGTGCATTGCTTCTTGCTTCTTGGACATGCCCCACACACCGCAAATGGATCAAAATAGATCAAAATAAAGCGACATCGATCGAAATAGATCAAATGAGTTCCTCTTAGAACGAATTAGTCGGGGAACAAGGTGAAATCCTAGGATTTGATACCTGCTCCCTCTGATTACTAACTTTGTCGAACGTCCAAGTAGGCAAACCAACTTTTAGGGCGTAGGTGCTCTTTGTTGGTGAGAGCTATGGGTCAACGCGCCGACAAATTTTGGGAGGTGTTGCTCCCTGGGGCCTGCGGAATCCTCCGGACCCGTGTTTACCCTGAGTGTACATGAAAAAGGCACGTGCTGCATGGGCGAATTGCAAATTCCCCCTGCCAAAAAATCGCCCTAGCAAAACAAAACTATCCTTAAGATAACAATACCTGAACCCTCAAAATTCCAACTGAAAAATGGGTTTGACCCCAAATTCTGGTTGGTGATCTCCCATTTTTATGGGTAGTTTGAGGGTCCAGGTAATTGCAAACAGAACAAACTCTCCCAAACAACCCGCCTTCCCCGACGGGGAAGCTTAAATCATCCCAGAAAGGACGGATGTCTTCAGCTGGAACGCGCCTAGCCGCTGCACAAGCTGATCGAAGTGCAGGCGCAAGCTGCGGTGGTGCAGCCTGAAACCAAGGGAAAGGACTGCCGCTTTCCTCCCGGTTCCTCGTTACCCCCAAAAGGCAGCGGTTTAAAGTCCACGTACTACATATATGTTTTATATAGACTGGTGCGTAAGTTTGGGCCTTGCTCTCTTTTTGAAGTCCATGAAGCAAACTCATGGTCTCTACATATATATATATATATAGAGCGTAAGTTGGTGACCACAACTTTCCAGGGGCGAGTTGACTTACCGCCCTTGACCAAAAATACCACCGCCAACAGGTTAAGCAGCTTTTGCCTCCACTTGCCCCACACGTTGCGAAGATACCGTCAAAACGCAGGAGAAAAAAAAAGGGACACAAGCCAAGACTCCAGGTTCCCTCACCTCAAACCCTGAGGGTTTTGTTTTGGCAGGGTTCCATTTTGTTGACTACTCCAAGGTAGACTCGGAAACCCAGGACTTCCGCTTATTGGGTTTCTCGAACCACCCTAGGGTCAAGACATACGAAACGATTGGTACTACACCTGTGGGCTGCACAAATGAGCCACTGAGCAACTTTTGACTCAGAACCCATTGGCAGTGTCGCGGTTTCTCTCTGAATGGGATATGGACTAGGTCCTCCAGATTCGAGAGGTTAGAACAAGGGTACCAACTTTTTTCGGTAGTCTATGTTGGTAGGGGAACCCAACCAAAAAATGAGTTAAGAAGGGCACCTAGCTGGGGGACCTAGTGGAACCTTTCGAACATGCGATCCCTTTAGACAACCAACCTCATGGGTTACCTGAAACAAACCATCATGACCTTTGGGGGACATGACAAAAAATAGGTGCCTGAACCCTCAAAATTCCTTAAAAATGGGTTTGACCCCCAAAATTATGGGGTGATCTCCTATTTTTATGGGTAGTTTGAGCGTCCAGGTGTCCTTTTAGGGGAAATAGATGGCCCTGATAGATGATGAAACCACCAGGTACACCAGGGCCATCAATTTTGGAGCAAAACAACAAATATGACCTATGGACTATAAATGGTTACGCACCGTTGGCCATGAATTCTGAGAGTCGCAACCTCCATCCATGGTTGGCGGGTAAGAGCCCATCCGCATGTACATGATGTCCACCAGTTTGGGCACCCCCCCCAACCCCCCCAAAAAAAAACATATGAAAAAAAGGCGGTCTTTCGGTGCGTTTCCCTTTGAGCGCCCCACGCACTGGGGGGGCACCAACTCCAAAACCAAAGACGCGCGCGCGCGACGCGCGCGCGCGACGCGCGCGACATGGCGCGCGCGAGCGCCTGATCACCTGGCCCAGCTTGATCCGGTCGAAGCCGAAGCCCTGGAACTCCGCGGGCCTGCGGACCAAACTTGGCCTTGGGAGGCGAAACCTAGGTTCACCTTTTGAAAATTTGGGCCTGGACCCTCAAACTACCCATGGGATATCACCAACCATAATTTTGGGGGTCAAACCCACTTTTAAGATGGAATTCTGAGGGTTCAGGGGAAAAGTATATGTCCAGTAGTGAAATCGACTCCCTTCGAACAAAGAACAAGCTTAAGGGAAAATAAACAAAAGTCTTAAGCAAATGGAAGAAAAGGTTCGCCTTTTGGGGATTTTCACTATTGGACCAAGGGGAAAGCAAAAGGTAGATTGGGAAAATTCAACAAAATCCTTTCATAGGTCCTCCAGATTTGAAAGGTTAGAATCAGTTGGTACCGTTACTTTTCTCAGTCTTGTCTAGCGAAAAAAGCTGCCTGTTTAGAAACTGGGTTCATTGGTGGGCCGTTTGCCTGTGGCTCCCTTTAAGATAACCTAAAGTATTCTAGTTGCCCGAAGGAAAACCGCTTCCAACATCTGACTCCTGAATGCAAGAATCGTAGATCCAGATAATCGCTCCAAAACCCCCCAAGTGCAGAAAACTGCTTACTACTTCCACTGGCCTAGATGCGCCACTATCACATGTCCAAAATCTAAATGCAACGCGCAACACATGGGTGTGTCAAATTTTATGCCCCCTCCCCAACAAAAGTGCTAATTTTTGGTTTACCCCACCCCCCCCACCCCGGGCCCGAAAGAACGTGTACCCGCAAACAAAGACAAGCCCACATGTTATCATCCTGCAACCTGGATCCTCGTCCTGCCCGAGCTTGTTTAACCCGATTATTTGGCAGCTTCCCCATTTGGCAACTCACGTTGGTGAAACTTTGGCTGTGTTCCATCTTCGAAATTCTCGAAATTGAGACAGCGGGTGTCAACTCGGCGTGAGCCCCTACTTCTTGAGCTTTCATGTGAACCCCCCTCCCCTTCACACAGCAATATGGGAATGGCTGAGGATGGGTTAAAAGTCTCTTGCTCTGGCCTGAATCGCTAAGGCTTGTAGAGTCCTTGCTCTGAAGCACATATGAAACCAGAGTAGCACCACAAACATGGCCAATAGGTGCTCCTCTGCATGTGTTTTTTTCCTGACGGCGCCCTGGTTAAAAGAGGAAAACCGCAAGGAAGTCGTACCCTAATGCGTGGGTTCCAATTCCTGTTCTCAGACTAGGCCAAATAGGGGTACCCAAAAAGAAAAGGACCCAATTATGATGACAGTCCTGAACGGTAAACAATGGCGGGTGAGTTATATGAACCAAACCGTTGCTTAATTGTTTAATGGTAGTCTGCCTGAACCCAGGGCCTAAAAAAAGACCCCAGGCTCTAGGAGTTGATTCCTTTTCCATTCTTTTCAACCATTCTTTCCAAGAACCGGAGCCGTTGTCCAGAAACCGGGTTTCCGGAGGTCTAGAAAGATCCGGATCGGGTTCAGAATGGAAATGGAAGGTGCCCCCAGAACATCCGGTCATTTACCGCATGCGCTCCTACACATCAATCCCACTTTCAGGTCTTCAGGTCTTGAGCTCCCAAAATGTGACCATTGGGACTGGTCTTACCCCTTAAATCTCCAAGCCCCGGGGAAGTTTTCATCTCTTACAGACATATAGCCCAGGTTACCCCCAAAAAGTTGAGAAGAGCTTGGTGTTTTCCAGAGGTAAGTCTTGGGTCACCCCAAAAACGGGCCCCAAGAAACGGGTTCCCTCCCCAAAGCGGCGGAACCGACCCCAGAAATTTCCCGAGCCCGAGAGCTGGCCGCGGGGTCCCCTGGCCTGAAGCGGCTCAGCACCAGCTGCTGGATCTGCGAGACCCACAGATCCTCACCCCCGGGCTCGAAGCGTACCTCGGATGAGGCATGAGGTCACGACCTGGACCCTACCCATGGGAGATCACCAGCCATAATTTTGGGGGGCAAACCCATTTTTAAGATGGAATTTTGAGGGTTCAGGCAGGCGCCCTTTGATTGACAGACCCCTGAAGACAAGGGGGGAGTCTGGTTCTAGAGGAAATCGATCCCTTTGAGGGGAAGCACGCCCCCCCCCCCCCCACCCCCTCCCCATGCGAATTCGCTAGGTGAGTCAGTGAGTCAAAACCCGGTAGTAAAATGGTCTACCGAGAATCATGTACAGAATTAAGAACTATTTGTGGCTGGGAGTCTCCCTTACTTCATCTACCCGGGTTTTGATTGTGGCTCACATGGCGGGCCCCTTTGGCACCTCTTCCCTCACTACTTCTCGAGTACCCAAAGGAGCCAGACCATCTGTTGGAACCTGGGTGAGTCACAGAGGAGACCCATTGGAGACATTTTTATTTCCCCGATTTGCGGGACAGTTTGGGACTTCAAAAGGACCGGACCAAACGAAAAGGCAGAGTTTGAGACAGCAAGATTCGTAGGGTGTCAAGACTTTGGACCCTGAAACATGCTAGTTGTTGTTTGGGTTTCTCAAAGAAACAATGCCAAAAATGGGATGGTTTGGAAGGGAAGCCAAGCTACCTACCCGGAGATCTGGAGATCATAGCTGGAATGTCTGTCAACATGATTTCAGTCCGCCGACATTTCACATGTCCGCCCAAAGGCTCACCATTGAAGACTCATGATGAAGGCCTTGCTTCCACCGTTGCCAGAATCGACATGAATTGAAAATAGTGGAGACGAAAGCCGAGGCAGTTTTGCCAATATGGGCTGTCAAACATAGGACGAGATTCGGCACCACCTAAGAAAACCTGGAATGATGGCTCTCCTGCAAATAAATACCAACGATGGTTAACTAATACCAACAAACAATGGTTTCTCATGGCTTCGAAGTGGTGCGAACGGAAGTTGTCCATCCACTGTATCAGGTCGGTTTTGGGCAACAAAGACTTAGGTGCATGGGGATAAGGGATAGTCCACTTGCCAAGTCAGTTGATTTGAGCCAACACTGGAGCTTGTCAGCGGCTTTTTTCTTGCTCACATTCCACCAAATCCCAAATCAAACACACATCCACGGTGCATTCAACATTGCCCCAATCATCAGACAGGACCCTCCATCGGATCAATCACATCTGACCTTTGGAAGGCTTGGGGCCTCACCAAAGGCCCCTTTTCAGGTGCCAAACGAAAATATTCGGTTCACTCATACCTGGGCTGCCCGTTTTCGGATCCCCGCGAAATGTTTAACTTTTCGAGTAAATGGAAGCTACCACTAAACTCACTTGCCCAAAGGACCTGACAATAAAAGGTTAACCTTTTGGGCTCATGACTAAAACTAGACCAAACCCGCAAAACCAAAAGGTCAAAAGGTCGGCTTTGGGCAAGTAAGTAAACACTAAAAAGCTAAAAGGCTAAGGAACCGGATGGCTGGGAGCCACTGCGATGAACGAGATTCTGACTCCAAGCACCATGGCCATATCCCGCGCGGGGGAAAAAAACCGACTCGCCCCACCAATTCGGCCCATTCGAGCCCACCGCTCACCCCAGTGGGAAGAAAGGCACTGCTTGCTGGCGCCCCGGAAGTTGGAAACGGGTTCCCAACAAGCCGACCGCCCGTGTGGCTGGTCAAACCCCTGGAAACCCCTGGTGAACATCAAAATAGGTGGCAAATGGATGTTCATCCACCCCAAAATGGGATCGCCATAGGTTATGCAACCCATGGCCATGTGGGAAAAACATCGCGTCAAGACCGTTCACTCCGAAAATTATCTCAGCCCCGCAGGAAAACAGAGCTGGCAGGTCAGCAGAGCTTCGCATTTTGTGTTCATGGTGAAAGTGCCATCTTCTGGTGACAATTTGCCGGAAAAACACATCGGAACAAGTGGTCAGAACAAGCTCACCCTGAGAATCATTTGACCCTCCATTGCGGGTCAGAACCTCCATTGGAAGGTTTGGGACCTCAGAAAAGGCTCTTTCAAGCACAGGTTCAAGTATATTGGACAACCCAGGGCCAAATGTAAGTTGAGGCCGACGTTACTCTGTTACACAGGGCAGACGGGTGCTGCAGCTTCGCTAAAACGCTCGGGCTCGGGCATTGCCGCCGCTCTGAAGTTCTAACAGCAAAGACCTGACTCGATGTCAACGAAGGGACCTTGACATGGGCCGGCGTGTTTTTGAAGGTGTCCTTGTCCTGGCTCTCAGCCGTCTAAGGGTTTTTGCATTACACCCTGGGAAGACATCCACTGGGTATTAATCCCATTTAGGCACATTTCCGGATAAAGCCGTGTTATTTTGAGCCATTCTGGGTCATTTCCCAAGGGTGTACTGCCAGGGTGTAATACAATCAGAAGCCGGAAATGGAATAAGACCGAAGAGACGCATTTGGCGACCGCCAAAAAGGCCAACGCAAAAGGTGAGGCTGACTTTAAAACTCTGTTGCCTAGCTAGGACCCAGAAATATACAAGTGAACCTTTGGGGTCATGAGTACACATGGGTACCACAAGTGGAAAAAGGAAAAGGTCAAATCAGGTCGATTCGTTTTGGGCAAGTGAGTTGAATTGGCCAAAGCCAAAACACCGAAAAGCTCCAAAGGTCGCCCTCGCTGGATCCATTGCCAGTCGGACAGCCCGACTCCCAGTCGGCAAACGGGTGGTTTTTCATCTACGCCGCTGCCATTGGTGGCCTTTTGGAAAAATAGATGGCCCTGGTAAACGGAACAAAACCCATCTAAACCAAACTAACCTAACAAGGACGCCTATGGCCGCTGCGACTCATAGAAGCGCCACAAATCAACTTTGTCTTTTTTGGGGTGCCCTCTCAAAAGCACAAAGAGGGACCAGGCAGGGAAGTGACGCAGCGAGATCTTGAAAGCGCCCAGCTGTTCAGCTACATCTTGATGTGCACTCCGTTTCGTTTCTTCTTTTAGGGGGGGGGGCAACCAATTGAGTGAGATGCTTGCAAGACGCCGAGCATGAAATTGGCAAGAACACTGGATTGCGTTTGACACAAGGCACCCAGTATCAAACATGGCCGTGCAGCGCGTTCCGCCAAACTGAAGGCGAAGAAATTCCACTGGTTGAGCAGAAGTTGACAATGCAAACAGATGACCTGGGAAGTCCAAGCCCTGCACGTAGTCTTGGAGTCCCTTTGCCCCCTTCAAACAAGGGGGCCCCCACCCCATATTCCTCTTTTTCCGGAAGTGCCAACCAGCCCCCAACCAACCAGCCCCCAACCTGCCACCACCCCCCAACCTTGCACCACCACCCCACCTGCCGCCTCCCCCTTGAACCCTGCCCCCAACCACCCCCCAACCCTGCACCACCCCACCTCCCACCTCCCCACGGCCCCCCTACCACTCGGACATTTAGGCTTAAATTCATTTGATAATTCGTCTTCAACTGTTGTCGGAAAAGGGAGATGTTTTTATTGTGTTGAAAGTAATATCACGCGTAGTAAGACATGCAGTATTTGTATTACATGGCCCCCCTTGCTCCCCGCCCTCCCACCTCCCTCCCTCCGTCCCCCTCTCCTCCGTCCCCCTCTCCTCCGCCCACCCACCCCCCCTCCTCCCTCCTCCCCCCTCCCACCTCCCACCTCCCCAAGCCCGCCCCCCGAACACATTCGCCCCCGCGCCGGATCTGCTGCGCCAGCTCGGCGTCGAGGAGCTTCGCCAGGCGCTCCATGGCCAGATCCGCGTCCGCCAGCTCCACCTGGCTGCGACGACGGAAAGCGGAACCTAATGGGTCAACCACCGCGAGCTCGCAGGTGAGGAAGAGCAGTGGCAGGTCCTCTGTGGCGATACATGGAGCTATACCGCAGCGGGTCTGTTTTCAGATGCAAGCCAAAACGAACACTATACGTCTAGGAAACACGCCCATTTCCATTCTTTCCAGGGATCCGAATCTTTCCAGAAAATCATCACAATCCCAGGGGAAACAGCTGGTTTTTGAAAAGAACGATGGTTGAAAAGAATGGGGAATCAACCCCTAGAATATATTTGTGTTGACCCCACAACAATCAACCAACCAGTTTATTAATGTGGGGGTGGTTTTGGCCCTTCCAAAAGTGGTCTGAATCCCACGAAACCCAGGGAGAAGCACACCCCCATTAAACTGGTTGGTTGATTAAGACGGGGTCAACATTATGAACTTCAGGCTTCAAACGGGCCAATGAGGATTTCCAGGTTCAAACAAAACATGCGAGGGTAGTAGATACCAATAGTGGGCTCAAATGGGTGTTTCTCAAAGTTGGGGGCCGATTCCTCCAGGTGGGTAATCCGTTCCCCCTTGAATGACCCAAAAAAAACGAAATCCGAGATTTCCACTCCGCACAATTGATGTTCAATACTAAACCCTTACTAAAGTCTTGGAATCCTGATTAGGAGGCACTTTTAACAAGCTTCCAGCCCTACTTTTAAAAAGGTGGGTTCCCCAAAAGGTTGTTTCCCCAAAAGGTGGGTTCCCCAAAAGGTTGGGTGGCCTGCCTGGCTGTCACCATTTCTGTAGCCAATGACTTGGCCGCGACTGCTCACTGGCCTCCCTACCTGGGCCATGGTGGCAAGCCGTCTATCTCACGATCTGCCTGACCGGCTCTCGGCCACGCAGGCACAACACCAGCCAGGAAAACGGCGGCCCTGCCGGCCTCAGCCGGCCGAACATCGCGCCCTTCAGCCAGCGCTTGCTTCTGCTCCTGTCTGTCTTCGCCTGGTCGCGGTGCCTCTGGCTGTCTGCCTGCAGGCACATGTACTGGTCCTTGGCTGAGTCGCTGGCGGAATTAAACTTCAAGGCTGACCTGACCTGTCTGACCTGACCTGTCTGATTGTTCGCTGGCTAATTAATTACCTAACCTGCCTGGCTGCAAACAAACAACCAGTAAACTAAAAAACAAATAGAATGATACATAAAATGTCCTTATTAAACCGCTTACTCGCGGACCTTACAATTCAATCCATTTCCTCCAAATCCCACATTGTTGGAAAACAAAAAACCAACCCCAAAAACCCAAATTAAAAAACATATTTTCCGATTATTTATAATTGGTGGGGGGGGGCGTATTTATTGATAGGGGGAACGGATTAGTTTCCTTTGGGCTTCCTTTCAAAATCATACAAAAAGGCCTCCCCCCCATTCCAAGAAGCCCCCAAACGCTTACCAATGATTAAAACTTAGTTGGTTCCCGAAAAAATACCGATGCGAGGGGACATACCAATATTATCTTGTTAACCGGTAAGCCAGGTCCTTTTGAGAATGGTGTGCATGGCCCATTCACCTCGTGGGCCATGAAGTTCGATGCCATGCGATTTAATTGGAGCCTCCAGATGGGTTCGGTTGCCTCATCTTTGGCGTCCCAAAATTTCTTCGAAGATGTCCAGCCACAAACCACTAGAGGCGTAAAAAAATGGGAGCCACTACTTGTTCGGCCAAGTTTGGCCGGAAACCCAAGTGCCCATTGCCACTTCACAACTTCCGGCTCCCTGGGTTTCGCACTTTGGTGCTCAACATTGGAAGATGGGTTCCCCCCCCAAACAGAAAAGCTACCTAGCCAGTGGTATGGGAGCAGCGGAAAAAAAAGGGTACCTAGGTCCTCCGGTAGAGAGGTTAGAATAAGGATACCATTTTAGTAGTGGAACCCTCCCCCCAACAAAGAAACCGTAAAAGGGCACCTAGCTGGGGCACCTAGGAAGAAAGGCAACGCCATGAAACCCCCCCCATGCGGCGAACGTCGTCTGCGCCTCACACAGGCGCACTCTGCGCTCCGCGTCCCGGTCATCGATCTGGCGGGCATCCGATTTTTGCGACGTCGGTGTTTGGGGATCGCCGCCCGCAAGAAAGGGGGAGGGGGCGGCGGCTCAGGGTGGAAACAAACAGTGCTAGAAGTGCCCTTTAGTCGGATTCCCCTAACTTTCAAGAGGGCAGCTGTTCTGTCTTGTGTCGTGAATTCCCCGTAAGCTCAAGAGCTACCAAACTTGAAGCCAGTGGAGCTTGGTGTTTGAAGCAAACCCAAGTGTCCCGTTTCTCCATATTCACAGCGCACAAAAAAGGGATATTGAGCACACATATCTAGATGCACACGCGAATAACTTGAACCCTCGGGGGTCAATCCTCCGAGAAGGTTGCACCACCAGCACAGAGTTTCTTGATACCTGGACCCTCAAACTACCCATAAAAATGGGATATCACCCCATAATTTTGGGGGTCAAACCCTTTTTAAGGGAATTTTGAGGGTTCAGGTATACAGAAAGCAATTCTAAGGTGCTTATCTGCTGGGTGCTGAATTTCTTCGCGGTCTTAACCCCATGCAACGACCACGGCTCGCCTAGACATAAGCATAAGTATATTGCTACCCCCCCCCCCCCCGGTTCGGCACCTGACAGGGAGCATAAGACTAGCCTTCGAGCACCGATTCTTTGATCTCCTGACTTAGGTAAACTCAATTGAAAGGCGGCTTTCAGACGGTGGGTTTCACATAGGCCCTAAGATGAATTGCTAGCGCGCCACGCGTGTGTTACTGTGGGTTGAAGCTAGGAAAAAACAATTGACGGGTGGGCAACTTGACGTAATCAAAACCTGGGATTGAAGATTAGAATCAAACGTGTCGCTCCAAATATTTGCAAAACACATCACCGGGTACTGGAAGGAAACTCGCTTGAAGGCATTTCCTGCATTCTCCACCTGAATAGTAACCCCCGAAAACAAAAAGGAAGAAGTGATGTCCTTTGCGTCTGGTCATCTTTGAAGAAGCGCGGCTGAAACTGGCCTTTTGTAAGAAGTAGGCTCACGTTCTACCGGACGTGTTTGGCCCATCTCCCGATATTGCAGCTCTCTTCTGCCTTTCCAGAATTTGAATGTGTTTCAAGCGTCGTTTACCAAATCCATTCAAAGGGCCTCCACAACTACACGCATTGTTCTCATTCTGCGCGTGACCGTTAGTTTCAATACCCCCCCAAAAACCCTTGCAGTTGGAACCCAACCGGGCTCGGAGTTGCCGGCCACCAACGCCCCTCCGCCCCTCCGCCCCTCCGCCCCTCCGCCCCTCCGCCCCGCGTCAACAGCTTCGCGGCTGCGGCGACAGGCGTCCGCCTCAAAGCAGGGGATTTGTTCGAGCCAGCCCTGTACTGCTGACCTGCCCTGAGCTCTTTTTAAATTTACGGGTGCTAAATACTTTTCTAACATGTGCAAGCATGCGCCACATTCTTCTCAAATAAAAGCACGCTGAGCTCTGCAGCTCAGCCAAACCCCTCAGATCCCCACAGGAAGGGCTGTCCAAACCGATCCCCTGCTAAAAGTTTAACTTGTTGGTTTCATGGACATCCAACCACTAAACCAACTAAAACAATTAAAAACCAAAGGAACCGGATGGCCAGGAACCGCCAAGATTTAGCGTGCACGCTCCCTCTTTGGCAGGGAATCCTTTCTGAACCGAGGGGACCGGAGGTGTTAATCAGGGGGTCTACATCACTGCTCACATCTTTGATTGGCTCGGTTTATGGACAATGTATGGCTCTGTTTCGTATTTAGCCTTCAAAACAGGACACAGCTTTGGAGTGCACCCCCGACATGGCTCGTAACAGGCCATGGGTGTTGCTTAGGTGGGATTGTTCCCCAAACAATCTGTGTAACATATATGTTACATAGATTGTTTGGGGAACAATCCCACCTAAGCTATATGCCAGCATGTGATCCATTTGGAGGGTAAAGGTGGGTAAACATTGCATACATGGAGTTTCTCTTTGTATGTCCACCTTGCCAATGATCTGCAAACGAGCCGGCCGCCTGGTGCCACTTTTCAGCCCGTCGCCTGAACCCTCAAGGTTGAAGCAGATGCGTTGACCGGAGTCCAAAAAACAAAAACCACTTGAAAATGCTGCTCCTCGAAAGGCCCTTGGACATAATTTAGATACCTGAACCCTCAAAATTCCCTTAAAAATGGGTTTGACCCCCAAAATTATGGGGTGATACCCAATTTTTATGGGTAGTTTGAGGGTCCAGGTACGGATTTATGTCCAACCAACCTTCACGCAGGTCCCGGATTTTGATTCACTTGCTCTGGGCAACTGAGAAAGCACGAAAGGAAAAGGTCCTTGTCCGGAACTGCTGGAACACACCAAGGATTGATGTCAGTGACTGCAACAAGAGCGAAATGTCGGGCCCTAAACCCAAGCTGCAAACAGCCCAGAACCCAACCCCCCCGGAGAAAATACAAGCTCAAGTGCTGCCGTTGATATGTCAAACTTAGGGTTTGGCCCCCCACAAAATCGGCTTTGGGCCTTTCTTGGTTTCGCTTTAAGTGAAGGTCCCCAGGGCTTCAGTCTAAAAAGCGCAAACCTGGTGCTTTACCTTAACACTTTTGGAGGGGCCCCCACCCCCCCCTTAATCAACTGGGGTTCCTGGACCCTCAAAACTACCCATAAAAATTGGATATCAGCCCATAATTTTGGGGGTCAAACCAATTTTTAAGGGAATTTTGAGGGTCCAGGTTGATAAATCTGGGGGCAACATTACCATCCTTATCTTTCGACCCGTGCTTGGAAAACCCCCAAAAGGGGAGGCCCTGAATATCTGAGCCTATGGGGTAGTCAGCAAAATGTAACAGCACCAGCAAGAAACATATTCCTCGAAAACTTGGTTGCTGTTGACTGTTGAGGTACCCCCGCCCCCCCAATGTTTGGTGGTTCTGAAGGGGTCCCGTGAAAAAAGGCACCCCATATTGGCCCCATATGGTCATTGTGCTCTTCTAGGTCCTCCAGTAGAGAAGTTAGAATAAGGGTAACCAATGTTTTCTGTAGTCTATTTTCGTAGGGGAACCCTCCAAGAAACGGTGAGAAAGGGCACCTATAGCTGGGGGACCTAGCGTAATGTTGGCCCAAGATTAATCAACCCCTGGTTGATGAATAGGGGTGTGTCCCCTTTTTGTGGGGATTCAAACAAGTTTCACTTCTGGTGATTCAATAAGCTGGAATCAACCCCAGCAAAACATATATATATATATACATATAGTTTTTGCCTGATGAGTGGAAAACAAAGAGACGAGACGCCAAAAGCAAAAACAAAAAAAAGGAAAAAGGGGAGCTAATTCTGGGGAAGAAACTACTCACATTGCGGGTGGTTGACTGGAGAAACAAAAACAAACAAACAAAAAACAGGCCCTTCACTCGGCTCTCCGGGCGGGCATCTCCGGGCGTCCCGAGCGCGGCGCACCGCCCGGGCGGCCATCTCCAAGTCCTCGCCCAGCGCTCGCCGCCGCGCCTGGCGTTGCGCTAGCGGCGCTCAGTCCAAAACCGGGAAAAACAAAAACGTGTCTCGATCGGGTCCTGTCACATTTCTTGATCTTTGTTGCTGGGATTTCTTGATTTTGTCGGGTTTTGGCGCGGGATGGTGGGGGTTTTGTCGCATTTGTTAAAAAAATAAGCTCGGGTGATTCCCCAACAGCATGCGGTGCACTTTTTAGTGCTCACACCACCCCGCAGCCCTCGCAGAAACTCGTGGAACCCTGGTGGAAGCCTGGTAGAAACCCTGGTGGAACCCTCGTGGAACCTTACCTCAGGGCCGCCCGGACCACCCCGGAGCTCATCTGGGCTGAGACCCCAAAGCTTTCAGCTGTTAGGGGGAAAACAAGTTTGGTCGGGTTGTTTTTGTGGGCATGGGCGTGGTGTGGGATCCTAAGGGGAGAAGGATGCTGGGTTTGTTGGTGGGGGTTTTTAAGGGGTAAGGGATCCTTCTTTCTAGAAAGCCTCGGGAAAAACCAAGGGGACAACGGCATTCTGAAGGCAGGGCTCCATTTTTTGCGGCTTCCCTCTGTGGCTTTGGTGCATGGATGTGCCTCCCCCCACCCCCCAAATGAAGTCTCCGAAGATATGTACCGACACCTAGAATCATTCCTCTGCATGTTCAACCTATCTCGGGAAAGGTGTGTTCACCGTGTTCATGAGAGAACAACTGCATCATGATTATAAGTTATAACCTACTCACATAGTGGTTAAACCTTCGAGTAAGGGATGAAAGGTTGTTTCTGGGTTGATTGCGCAATTTGTTCAAGTAAACCCACCACGACCCATGGCATTGTTCGGGGGCGCCCCAACAAAAACACATCATTCCGCATTCCTCCGATGGCATGCTCGAATCAGACCAGCTAGCTTTTCCAACAAGACAGCAAAGGTTTACAGCCACGAAACACGAGCACACGCACACATGACACCCGAGCTGACTTTGGGCTCCAACATGGTTAATTAAATCGATTGGGCGACATGTCTAATGTTGTCCCACCCACACACACAAAAGAAGCAAACAGCTGTCTTAAACTAACAACGAAAACAACATGCAGGCGACCCCAAACAATGGAATGGGCCCATGGGGTTTTACATTACCAACTGGAGTCATGTTCATAGGGGCAAACATGTCAATGGTGATTGTGCCCGCAACCTTGGTCAGTAAGGCCCCCCCCCCCCCTCCTAATGACAATTGGTGTGTACACCCACAGACATGACTACAGTAGCTGACGGAACATATTGGCCGGGCATCGCCAAAATGGTAGGCCCCTTTTTGGATGAGAACAAGGAAACCAACCAGGAACCCAAGAAATTGCTGGGGTTCTATAAAGCCAACTTAGGTCCATCTTAGGTCCTTAGGTCTCACACACTTAACATTCCCAAACACTCCAGTATGCAAAATTTACTCACGTTTACCCTCCATAGTGGATCCAATGTTGGTATACATTTCCAACATAGGTCATATGGGAGTGGGGCAGCATGCTAGGAATTGTCCACTCAGCTTCCCCCATGGGTTTGGATTGGTGGTTTGGTGGTTTTGGGGGTAGTGTCCCATATTATACCTTCTACAAGAACCAGGGGTTCAGATCCCTTCAAATCCCCAAACCACCAACCCAAACCACCAATTAAGGGACAAGCTACAAAAAATAAACAAACAGAAAAATAAAGAAAAAAAACACCGTTCCGCCGTGTTTTGTCTTTCTTTCTGTCTCCTCGTCAATGACCTTGGCCGCCCGCAAGCAGTCCGTAGCCTGGCGCTTCCTGAGAGAGGCGGGCCATTGAGACTGCGAATGGGATATCCAATCCCGGCGATGTTCGTGGGTCCTTGTATTCCGCATGCCGGTATGGTACTTGCAAGATGGATTCGCCAAGTTGGTAAGTGGTTACCCTGGGTCATAACCCACAAGTGCTTGGGTTAACCCCACTAGTGGGTTATAGCCTTACCGCGGGTCACTTACAAAACCCAGTTACTCCGTTTCCTTGTCTAGTACTTGGATGTTTGCTTCGCCAAGTTAGTAAGTGGTTCGCTACTGGGTTGTAACCCACTAAAGACTGTTCTAGTCTAGGCTACGAACAACAAACTAACTCGGTCGAACATCTAAGTAGGTTCAAAACCAAAAGGAACATGGCTGGTTTCCTACCATGGTACCTGAGATCCACGGGGAAAAGCACAACTTTCCGTTGAATATGTCCTAAACCCCAATTTAAGCGTACTCATCTTTTAAAGTCCAGCTTGTTTGCCAAGCCAGGCAAGAAACCGGAGAATATACTCAGTGCTTCATGTTCCCACAGTTTTGCTCCCAAAATACAAAGCTAGAAATGTCGCAATGAACTGGAAATGAAAAAAAGCTGCAGCATTCCATCACTTCTGCATAGGGGCTAAATGCTTAGAATGGGGTTTGGTGTACCGACAGGCTACATTAAGTCATGAGACCATGCCACACATGGTTACCCTTGTGGTAGTGTGGGAACCCTTCAAACCCCTGAAGTGTTCCCATATTGCTAGCCAGTTTGGGTTATTCCCACGTCTTTCTGCTCTCGTGGTTTGGCATAAGGTTCTGAGCAACCCTGAACAAGGAAAGCTGCGCTTTTGACGCAACATGTGAGGGCTTGACAATGCCAAAACAACAAAACTCCAGCAGTTGGGGAGTCTGCATGGTGGACGGGTATCACCCGTTTTGGGCGATTTTGAAGGGAAACCAACACCTTGACCTGTTAGGACTGTGAACAGCAGGTCCTTGGCCGATTTTCCAGGTGCATCCAAGAGCAAAATCAAGAAGGGCCCTTCTTTTGCGGGTCCTCGGAAGACAAGGACGGGAAGCAGGTCATTGTTGGGTTCGCCTTTGAGAACATCCAGAGGAAAAGCTTCGCGATATTTAGATGCAAACGACAAGCTGCGGCTATTTGGGCCCAAGGAAGGTCCCAGGGCTCGATGTCAGTGGAGCAGGCAGTGAACTTATCAAGGAGCCGTTCAGCTGTTCAACCCGACGGACCGCCATCGACGACCTTGACCCTGAAAACTACACATAAAACAGGGACGTCATCAACCAGAATTTTGGGTTGCACAAAAGAATAAGGTTCAGGTTTTGGTTGTCAAAAACTCCTGAGTCCAAGACCCACCCCCAAGACGTGTTGTGGTGCTTTTGCACACGGCACACCTGCTACAGGAATCCCTGTTCCTGCCAGGCTGCTATATACACTCACTTGATTGAAAAGGTCCCCCAATTGATACACTGCCACCAACCCACCAGGTGCTTTGGAGGCCGCCCGGTGCTACATCCACAGCAAGCCTCCCTTAAATCCCATAGAGGGAGGAGCTCTCGAGGATGTCGTCCCTCGAAAGCTGTTGCACCCATGCCCTTTCCCGAAGCAAGGACTCTCACCAGCCAACACTTCCTAGCACACCAGGAGCCAGAAGACTGAGCCATACTGAGCCATGATTGGCACTTTGAGACATTCCCAGTTGGTTCCTTTCCTTCCATTTGCCCTGACCGAAGCATCAGTGGAACTTCCCTTGAAGGGGTTTTAGGGACCTTCATTGCAAAGGGTGTCGACCTTAAAAAAGGTCCCAGATTCTTTGGATGGAAAAATCAACAAGGCTTTGGGAAGCTCACGGGACTTCCAATAGCTTCGATCAGATCTAAGGGGGATGAGAATCCACAAAAAGCGAACAGCCAGTTGGGGGCGGGTGTCCAAGGGCAACCCCCGAACTTCCAATGTCTACCTGGACCCTCAAACTACCCATCAAAATGGGATATCACCAACCATATTTTTTGGGGTCAATTCCATCTTTAAGGGAATTTTGAGGGTTCAGGTAGACCCAAAGGGGCACCGGCTTGTGGCAGTTGCCCCATTTCCGCGGAGCCCCATTCAATTCAGGCCCCACCTTTGACTCCAATTCGGCCGAGGTCTTGGGTTGGGGCCGGGCCTAAAAGACACAGCCCATGTGCACCAGAGTGAGACTGAGTGAGACTGATGGGTGGTTCGGTGTGTTTTTGCTCTCTCTTTTCTTTTCTTTTTTTTTTTTTTTGGGGGGGGGGGGCATTTTTCGTTTTGTTTGCTTTTTCTTTTTTTTTTGGGGGGGGGGATTTTTGAGCCAAAGGGTTCTTCCGTTTTTAAGGGGACCTCAACTGCCAAGTTGGGCCGCCCGACAGCGTCTTGATCCGCATGTTGTAATAGAGGCCTCAGGTCTCGCCCGAGGAGTGGAATGAATCACGATCCGAGCCTTGGTGCAGGTAGGGAATGACTGAGTCCGGGGCTTGGGAATAAACCCGAAAATATTTCCTGAAAGGACATCATAGGCGATGGGATTGAATTTAGCCCCCAAAAGATTGGCTTCAAGAACTGCAATGGGGCCTGGGACCATTGGAACTCTTGCGCCCTTGGAACATCGGAGAGAAAACCCCACAAGTTGGCTCAACAGATAAAGACAGAGAGCAACTACAGGAAAACCACATACAAACATAGACCTTATAAAGGTGCTGAGGGATATCAAAGAATCTCTGTTTGGATAATATAATAATAAGTGTGTCTCAAGATTCGGACCCACGTTGACTTCGCTTTTTTGGTCTCAGAAACATTCATTCCCCAAAACAGGAGCCCAATGGCAGCTGCTCTCAAACCGTGTGTTTCGGAGCCGTTTGGGTGGTTTGGAGGCCCTGTACAAGAACCCGGGTTCAAATTCCCAAATCACCAATCCGAACCACCAATCAGGCTCACTCTGGTGCACATGGGCTGTGTCTTTTTGAGGGCGCTTTCAAAATGGGGGGCGCTCGCCCAAACGAAGCTCGGCCCACCGCCCCTTCCGAAGCTTCTGCGGCTTCGAGGCCCTGAGGCCCCGAGCGCTTCTTGGCGAAGGCCGCCTGCGCCAAGCTGTGGGCCTCCGCGGTCACATGCATCTGGTCGTGGACCTCTCGCTCGGCGATCTTCGGGGCGCTTCGGCGAGCTTCGGCGATCTTCGGCGATCTTCGGGGCGCTTCCGGGCGCTTCAGGGCGCTTCGCCACCAGAGAAGACGGGGCGTCGCTGCCGCGAGGGCTTTTGTTTTCTTCTTTTTTTTGGGAGGAGTCGCCAGGACGCTGTTTAAACATGGGGTCACTGCCAGAAAAGATCTTGAAACTGTGTTTGGGGTTGATCACTTTTAATGGGGACGCCGCCAAAAGGCGTGGAGTCTTGAGCCTTTAAACATGGGGTCGCTATCTCACTGGCCCTTTGCGCGTCTGGAAATAAAAGGGGATCTCCTTTAACCTCTCAAAACAGAATAGACCCAAAGGGGAAACCCAAAGGTCAAAAGGTTTGGGTATGGGGTTACGCGGATTTTAGTCTTTGGTCCCATTTACCAAGCTGCCATTTTGGTACCACTTTTTTGAGCCACGGCCAGGTGAGTTGTTGGGATTCTCGCTTTCGACTTCCTCTGGTCTTGCCAGAGCTCCGGTGCCTTTTAAAGTCACCTGCCCTCCCCCCCCCCCTTCCCCGCCCCCCCCCAATACCCCAATGCAGCAAAAAGGCGCAGGGTGCAGCGTGAAAATCCAGAGGTTGAGGTTACTGGGAGATCAGCTCTGTACTCGAGAACATGGGACCCCCATTGCCACCACACCAGTTTCTATATGGGTGGCTCGTCTTTTTTTAGGTTCGCACCCTTTTTCACGAGGAAACCCACAATTTTAGGGGTCCCCTACAAGAAGACAGGCCCATATTTTGTCCGCAAATGGGTCACCTTAAAACAATTCCTGCAGATGTTTACCCTGAACGGGGGAAATCGTGGAACCATGTGGATATGGCTCAAAATTAAAGAGCTGGGGTTGCGCGGGTTTTAGTCTTTGGTCCCATTTACCAAGCTGCCATTTTGGTACCACTTTTTTGAGCCACGGCCATGTTTGCAAAGGATCTGCACATGCACAGCTCTTGGAGTCACCCACTTACCATGGGCGAGGCGCATCCGAGGAACCGTTTCAGACCACGGGGATACTGCTTGAGAAAAGACCTGCGAGGAATCCACCCGCAAGAGCCTTCGGGGAACTCAGATCCGGCTCCCGCAATCCACGGGAAAGAGACAGACTCGGTGGAAGTTGATATGCCGCTTTCTGTGATTTTTTTTAACGCCTATCACAATTCTCAGAGGATGCTAGGGTGTAACCGAAAACCCGACATTTGACCATGGCCTGCTTTCTGAGGCACTTGGGATGAAGGGGCTCTCTTGGCACAGTTTTCACATTGCTGTGGGTCAACAATATGTACCCAAAATGAAACCCTGGTACGTGGAAACATAGACTAAAACCTGCGGTCCGCTGGTGGTTTGATTTTGACCCATACCCTCAGTTCCCCAGTTTCAAAGACCCTTGGACAGCTTTAAACAGGACTTCGACATGAAGGGTCTGAGCATTTCTGGAGGCCACTGCAGCTGCGGAAAAAAAAAGGCCGAGGTCTGGGCAGTTCAAAATGGGTTGAACAATCCCAGTTCTTCATCTTGCGTACCCCGCAGCAAGGATTGAGGATTGCCCTGTAGCACAGCCCCTCTCAGGAAGCTTGAAAGAAGGTCATTCATCCTCGCAATTACGATTGGGTCGCCAACTGGAATTGGAGCACCCTGTGCCCAACAAAAACTCGACCCAAACACCGCGAAACGCAATAAAAGCACCAACTGCATAGATAAACCAGACACCGGAATGCGCAAACAAATGTAAATCCACCTGCATTGACAAAACTGAACTCTTTCTTTCCCGAGCGCCTAGCTTCAAACAAAGGCCCTTGGACATAAATACCTGGACCCTCAATCTACGCATCAACAATGGATTTCACTCACCATAATGTTGGGTTGCAATAACCCATTTTCAAGGGTATTTTGAGGGCCCAGGTACCACAAACCTGCGCTGCTTCTCCCGCCTGCAGCTTTGGCAGGTGATACAGCGTGTAGGTTTGGTAGTTGCACCTCGCTCGGCCAGGTGTCCCCAAGCTTTTGAGCAGGACCTGAGGAGAAAAAGACCATGATCGCCTTCTTTGGGGACTTGGACGATAAATGACCCAAACCGGGGACCAAACAGGTGAGATCAGGTTGATTCGCTTTGGTTGCAACTGAGGTCCAAGAAGTGGAGCCGTGGCTCCGCTAAATTCGACCTATGGGAAGAACGGATAACCGAATGGACGTCTTTGTTGTGTGAAGAGTATCATTTGTTTGGGCGGCTTAAGGTAAACCCAAAAGGACAAACACCACTTTTAGGGTTCCCTCGATTTTGAGACACCCCCAACAAATCCGCAGGAGGTATCCGATACCAAGCTCCGCAAGCAAGCCTTGAACGAACCAATTCGCCCTGAAAGCGGCTCTGAACTCTTGGGCAGCACCATGAAGCCTTGGCCTTTCCGGCCATTTCCCTGAACCCTTGGTTTAGGACAAGGGTCCCCATTTGATGACAAACCCAGGTGAACTTAAAGAAAGGAAGTGAGCTTGGCCATTCTAGCCCCTGAGGGGATCCTGGAGTCTGGCATTGAAAGGATGAAATCTGGATCCTGAAATCTGGGATCCTTTGGTTTAGGGGTCCGCAATTTGATGACAAACCCACATGTTCAGGATTCGGGGCAGGTGCCAACTTGAAGAGGGATCCTGGAATCTGGGAAAAGATGGCTTTAGGGAAAGCGGAAGCTCGGCAGGGCAAACTCATGGGACCCAACACTGAGGTCGCCCCCCGGTTTTTACGCTTGACAAGGGAAAACCAACAGAGAAACCTCCACTTAGACCTCGTTGTGTTGGTTGACTATTCAACGGGAAAGAGTTGAGAACACGGGCCCGGACAGTGGTTGCAACTCAGCTCTTTGTCTCTCAAGAAAACTATCATGGTACTGCAGATTTAGATACCCAACACACGCCAAGGGTGGAAATCGGGGACACCCCCCCCCAAACACCCTCCCCCCAAAAACACATCCCCAATAGACCCGAAAACGATTTGCGGGCGTCCAACAAACGTGCCACATGTAGGATCTTCAGGTTCTGGACACCCTGTTTGCTTGGCTGCAACCCTTCCGAGATGAGAAGGTAACCCCAAAAAACAGACCACTGAAGGAAAAAAACAAGCAACGCTGTCAATTAAAACAAAACCGCAAACAACATCCGTGGCACAATTGGGACTTGTTCATGTATTACAGTTTAATTCACATGCATTTGTTTGTCCTGTCATTCGTAGGGTGCTCCACCCATTGTCTTTTTCTTTTTTTTTAACGCCAAAGAAACACATTGCCTTCCGTGGGTTTGGTTTTTCTCTGTCACGTCCGCGGAAGAAAGAACGAGAGAAAAAACCAGCGAGCGCCGGGCAGGGAGCAGATGGGGTTCTCCCCGAAGTCGGGGTCCGCGAAGCTCAAGGAGCACAGCTCCGTGCGCCGGGCGATGTCTAAGATCTGCGCTCGATGCCCGATGCGCTGGATGCGGTTTGTGTGCCTTTTCGTGGCTCAAACAAAAGGACGGCCAGCTGACTAAGCGGTAAAATCGCTGGCTTCGGAGGAAAACTTATCTTTCTTCAAGCCTTAGATTTGGCATTCGGATCCCAGGAAGAAATCGAAACCACACCGCAGCCTAAGGTAACTTCTGCTCCACCCAAACCACCACAACCAGGATGAACAATTGATTGTATAACCCCAATATAATCCGCATAACCTTTGCGTGAAAGGGCCCCTTTTGTTTATGTTTGCTCTGGCAACCCCACCACCAAAACGGGGGGACAGAGATCAGACACACAAGGCTTCGTTTGTTGGGCGAATCCTCAAAATGGGGCCCTCCAGCCTTTCGCTTGGCCGTATTGGACGAATTTATGGGTTTCCCCAACAGTAGCATCGCCAAGAAAGGACAAGTGCCTACCAAAATCAGAGCTGCATCCTCAGGGTCACCCAAACATCAGAGCTTGAAGCTTGAAGCGCGTGACAGGTTCGGCATTTCTGCGTGTGTAAGTGGCACCCTGAAATCAATCTCACTTGTGTTGTGCAAACGACACTTGAGGCAAACTGCAAACTTTGCAAGAGCTCGCTATCTTTGTCTCAAGATTCCTCTGCAACAGCTCGCTTACAAAAAACTGTCAACCCACGGCATGAATTTCAATGGAGGACCCCGTGAACATCAGAGTTGGGTGGGGATTTACGTCCACCGCACTTTGCAGGGCGGTCCCCCTATCAAAAAAAAACAAACAACGGAACCATTCCCATGAAACTTGCTGGTCCTCAGGGGAAAAAAGGGAATGACGCCAAACCCATCCAACCGGTGGTTTTCTTTCTTCTGGAAATCCTTTCTGGAACACTGCAACGAATCCCCCGATTTCGCACCAAACAAACTGTGGGGTCAAAGCCCACCATGCTCCTGCAGGACTCCGATCGGTAGCTTTCAAAGGCTCCCCCTTTACAAGCAAATTTAGTCTACAACCAGGATGCCTAGGTTCTTCTAGGTCCTCCAGTAGAGAGGTTAGAATAAGGGTACCCGATTTTCCTTTTGCTGTCTATTTTAGAAGGGGAACCCTCCCCCCCAAAAAAGGGTGTTAAAAAGGGCACTGGAAAACCTAGGCTCTCTCCTTCAAAGCAAATTTCGCCCGCCATGCCCAGGTTCTCTGTCCCTAGCTCCCACAAAGGCTCCTTTGCCAGCTCCGCTCCACTCAGGCTCCCAAAGGCTCCGATCCAACTGCAAACCGCACATCCAGTGGTGTTTCCTCATATTACCATATCAATAAAAACAAATAATTACCATATCACAGCCTTTGTGGTGTTGTTAAAGACTCCTTGAAAATAAAACACACATCCAGCGGTTCCTTTGAAAGGGACAAGTCACAAATATTCAGCACATAGGACCTGATCAACCCACCTATCAAAGTGCGTTTCGGCATGCCCAGGGTCCGCCACCACCGGACCAGCGCGCGCCGAAAACTCGCCTCCTTGAAGGAGCAGAGCTGATTGCCTGCGAGGTTCAGCGACTTCAACGGGAGATGCTCCAGCGCGCCGACCACCGAGCTGAGGCGATTGCTCGCCTGCGGAGCTGTCGATTTCTCAAAAAAAAGAAAACGGGGAAAACCCGTGGCACGTGGTTCAAAGCAGTTGGATTGAAAGGGCCTGCGAGCTTGGGTTTGAGTATGAAACACTGAGGTCTTTCCATGACTGTTTTCTTTGCTGCGAGTACTTGATTCTGCAAATCTTACTATAGGTTTAAGCTCATATTCTGCCCCACTCTGGGGACAAGGTCCAAGTTCTTTAGAGATCCTGACGCCAAGGGTCCAAGGATGCCTAGGGAACAAGTGTCACGTGTTTTGCCCCATTTCACCAGGGCTAGCAGACCCTTCGCAAGGGGCCACCCGTTTGTTTGTTTTTTACTGAACAACAAATCGGCCGCTACTCGACGGGTTCGAAGATCTCGTGGAAAGCCAGCGAATGTTAACAGGTGCTCAAGGGGCAAGCCAAGATTCACCATGGCACCAGCCCTCCGGTCCCTCCAGCTCTCCGACCCAAGCCCCGAAAAAGAATCCCCGAAAGCAACCTTGCCTTTTGGGGCCCAGGCAACGAATGCCACCTATCCAGGGACTTCTACTTACCAACTTACCAACTGGTGCAGGATTTTGCCCATCAGTATCTATACTATGGGATATTATATGTATGAACATCGGTGAACATTTACGTTCGTCTACTGCAGTCATGGGTTTGACCATGTGGCAAGCTCCCCAACATACAATAAGGAAACAGGAGTTACTCGCCGAAATCCAATGTGAGTGGGCTGGCAACGAATGTTGACCGTGCCTATGCCACTTAAACTCTGGGTGCCCTTTCTTTAGCAGTGGCTTCCCCAACTTTGTCCATGGTGACCTAAGCCCTTCTTGATAGAGGGCACCTCTTCCGATTTTGGAACATGCTAAAAAAAAGAACACTAATCTTTCAAACTGATACATTGCTACTTAAATCATAGGAGTCGTCCGTGTATCAACAGCTTCGTTCCGCGTTCGCCTGTTTGGGGTTGCAAAGAATTCGCTCCTTGCGATTCAAGCCAACTGTTGCGATCGTCCTTGATCAAGGTGCCTGGACCCTCAAACTACCCATAAAAATGGGATATCACCCCATAATTTTGGGGGTCAAACCCATTTTAAGGGAATTTTGAGGGTTCAGGTGGTTGAACCACGTGATCCACGTGCCTAGATAGCCAAGTTGCGATCGAATTCTTGATTCGGTCACTGTTGCGATCGGTTTTGGGGGTAAAGTGCATGGAAAAAAGCGATCGCAACCAGCCATCCAGGTGGTTTCCCTTTCTTGCTTAGGTTGCTTATATCAAGTTCGGGCGGTTTCCCTCTCTCTACACATTGTTTCAACATGTTTAAGCCGACTTCGGATTGCTTCCCTTTCCCACTAAAGATTCTTAAGACCAAGTTTACGTTACACCTCGTTGTAACGTTGGTTCTGGCTGTGGGATGTGACCACTTCTGGAGATTCCCTTGTATCAAGCCAGCTAGTTCTTGAAACCAGCAGTTTCAAAATACCTTAAAAGTGGGCTATTGCCCCAAATTGTGGGGGTGAGTTCCCTCTTTGTGGGCAGTGTGAGGGGCCAACAAGTTTCAATCCTGTGGCCACCTCTTGTCACATGCTCTTGGTCCAAGGAGCCGCGTTGAGCTCGGTGAGGTTCGGCGTGCAGAGGCCCTGCAGGCTGGAGAGCTGATTTCCCGCCAGCCACAGCACCTGGTACGCCGCCAGGTGAGTCCTAATGAAAACCCGGTAGTCTACCCGGAAGCATAGAATGAAAGAATTGAAAAGGCGCCCGCCCCCCCATTTCTGGTTAGGATTTCCCTTGCTAACCTTCTGCCCAGGTTTTGATTGGCTCCGGTGGTTTCTTCGGGTTTGAAAAGCGTGTGTGAGCGCGAGTTTGTTCAAACTCATTCTGCGTTGAAAGAGTCCGCTGCTTGGGATCAGACTCTGCGGCCAAGTGAAAGGTCAGGAGTTTTGCTTTTTTTTCCAAGCAGCTGAAAGGTTTGTTGGTCCATGGCCCAAGTCAGTGATTCGGATCAGGTCCGAGGGAGGGTTCTTGGTGGGGGATACCACCGACCTGGGCTTATTTCCCGATAAGCTACCCAAGACGGACACCTCGCGAAGAAGACACTCGGCTGAGAACATGAGCTGCTTGAGGCAACCGTTGGGCATTGAAGATTCGAAAAGGCAATTTTCTCCCTCCCAACAAACCAAAAAAAAACACCGCCGAGGTCCGTCCAACCGCAACTCCCTCCAAACAAAAAGAAAAACGCCACTGGGTCCGTCCAACCCAAACCCAGCTGAAGCTCCCATCTTTTGCCGCCACCTCGAGGTTCTCTAGGCCCGCCAGACCGTCACCAATCTCCTGCGAACGTTTCGACCTGTGGCTCAAGAACTTTCAGAAGTCGGGTCTTTGGTTGTATTTACCAAGGTGCCATTTCAGGTAATGTCGAACTCTGAATAATAAACCAATACACCCTGCCATTATCTGCCATTTCGGGGGAATGTCGACCTCTGATTCATAACCCCGCAGTTTGTCAATCATCCACCCTTTTACTAGCCATTCCTTTCTTGTAAGGGACACTCCCTGATTAATAACTGCGGGGTTCATTAATCAGGGCTCGACACCATTATTTAGCCACAGCCACCGGAAGAATCCTTCTGACCAAAAGAATGAGGGTAGGGCTCACCCCAATTCTGAAAACCCCCCGGCAGGTCAACATTAACCCAGCAGCCCACTGGGCGTGGGTGGCTCGATTTGTATGAGGGTGCCCGCAGTGGTTTTAGAAAAGAGAAACCAAAACAAAACTAAGCATTTTGCAGCGTCCACTACAACAAAAACACACCCACGGTGTGAATTCGAAGGGCATCCTTTGGTGTACATCATCTAGGGGTGTATTCCTGCCACTTTTGAGGTTCCCTACTTCCATTTGGTTAAGACCCCTGGACACAATAATAAAAACAAAAAAACAAACATTTTTAGTAGTGATTAGCTCCTTTTAAAGCCAACAAGGGAAAATAACACATATACTCCTTTCATCAAATAGAAGCCTACAGTGGAGGGCCATCGGAGCCCTTGCCGACGCTCAAAACCCTTGCCAGGCGGTAACCATGGCTGTGGTTGGCACAAATCGAACCCCAAAATGGGCTGCCCTGAGAGATGAAATCTGTTTGGTCCCATTCCTGGTTTAATTTGGACCCATACCACCATGTCTTTGCTTCAAACTTTTGAAACCTCGGTCCCTGCGGCTCAAGCTAGTCACCATGAATAGATCATCAAATGAGGAACCCCCAATGGTCGGTTCCCTTTAACCCATTCCTTCAAAGCCCAAAGGCGGTTCCCTCGAAAATCGGTTTCCCCTTTGGTTTCCCCCTAAATCATCCCTCCACAGGGCACTGACTCAAAAATAACCAACCCTCATGTTCTTTGCCGCCTTTGAATGGAGGTCTAAAAAGGGGGCCTACAAGCTCAACCACCCATAGTTCAGGACAGGCACAGTGCTCGAAAACCTGTAGGACAAAAACGGCCAAGACCTGATGACCTCTCGGATTTTCCAAGATAAATACTTATCTAGACTTGCGGTCAATATGGGTTTGTCACAAAGTAGGCCATAGGACCCTCGGTGTACCCTTGTTGCCCTCTACTGTACCCCCGCCTCAGGGTACCCAAAAAGATGAGCCACGGGAAGCGACCAGCCGGAACCTACTTGGCCTGTGAAGGTGGTGTCCCAAAGGCGAACCAAACCATCAACATCCATTACGGGTTTGTCTTCTTGTTCTAGGTATCCCTTTTAAAGGAAGTAGGAAAGCCTATATTTTCCGGGTGCAAAAAAACACCCACATGTGTTCCCTGACTCCCTACTTTCTAGCTAAAACTGCTGAGGTCGCATTTTTACCGCGGCCCAGTTGTGAATCATTTACCCATCACATACCTGTTTTGTATAGCTTTTCTTGGTCTAGACAAGGCCTAGTTTTTCAGCGGTCTACCCATTTAATGCATACATGGTTCCATGGGTAGTTGTTCCGCGAAATTAGTTGTCGCACAGTAGCAGACAGTCAAGCATAGTTTGGCAAACCCCTCTGCAAGCAATACTTACTTCTTTTCTAAACCACCTCCTTTTGGCTCTGTCATAGCAAGGCCTGGTTGTTGCTTGAACAGGCTTTACCCAACCCTACGGTGGATGTTCTAAATATTGCAAGTTAAGCGTGATTGGGTTACTTGCAATATGTTTAGGGCATTCGCCGTACATTCAACCCTTTTTTTCGGTAGCCCGTGAGCCGTCCTTGATGCAGTTGAAGGGCAAGTACAGCCTCAACCACACGCAACTCGACGCAAAAAGGCCTTACCCGCCCACCAACAAACATGAAACGGGGGTCCCAAAAATGCTGGTTTTTCCACTTGATTTCCTTTATACCAAGAAAAGGGTACCCTCAACAAACGCAAAACCCCAAAAAACATGGACGACTGCTTTCCGCTGTGAAAGGGAGCAAATCTGCGCTGTTAGATACAGTAGGAGCTGAGCCGATGGCTCCCGGGATTGGGGGAGTAGTGTCGAATCCGGAAGCAACCGCTCCGGTGACCAAGTCTAGGCCCTCCAGTTTTGCGAGGTTAGAACACAGTTGGTACCCAGTTGTTTGTTTTCCTATTATTTTTTCTGGAGTCCATTTTAGTAGTGGAACCCTCCCCCAAAAAAGGGGAGAGAAGGGCACTACTGGGGGACCGAGAAGTTGTTGAGCTTCGAACAAATTGCTGCCTTTCGGATGCAAACACCCCGGATCGTCCTTTGGTGCAAGCCTTCTGGTTGCCCGTTTACTAGAACCGTTTAGAGTACCCTGAGCCAGACCATGGTTCTCGTCTGAAGCATCAGTTGCAGCAAAGGGGATTGATTCAATACAGGTGACGCCGCTTGTTCGGCTGAACGGCAAGTATTCATTCGGATAGACGCGCAGTGTACAAGGGGCAGCCGTTCACCCTTTGGAAACACGACACATGGGACCAAACAGAAAAAAAGCCTCAAGATGGACCGAAAGAACCCAGTGACAGATCTTTTCCTGCCAAGCAACTTCTGAAGCTTCCGGCAATGCTGCAAGCCTTCAATCTTCTCGATGGCATTTTCCTTGGCGCCCCAATCCAATCCGGGCGGTTATAAGGCACGCATAATGGGCACTTTCTCAAGACCAGCTTGGCTACTCTTCCCTGCGCAAATGGCCTTACCTTTTGTAGGGTTAGTGGAAAAGCCAGTTCTTTCCAACAAATCAAAAGGGCCGAGGTCACACCTAAGACCAGCAAAGAAAAGACTCCCCAAAACAAGGGTCGGAGTCCTCTTGATTTTCCTTTAAGCACCGTCCAAACGGGTCTGTCTGAAAATAGAGGGGACCCCCCAAAATGGCAAGGGTTTTCGTAGTTTCCCTTTGAGCCAACCAAAGGGCTGCCAACACAGAAGTATCCAATTTCTGGTTCCTTCGCCTTTGAAACAGGTGAAAGTGTTCGCGCAAAGCAAAACCGACAACCTCAGAAACAAATGCAGAGCTGTGAAACGCATGGCACTTCCGTCGCATTGTCTATTTCTTCAAGCCAATTATGAAAGTCACGCCCTTGGCTACCATGTATGGCTTTCCGAATGTATCCGCAATGAATGGAGCTCCGTTGTGGGCAGAGTGCAGTTTACTGAACGTACGGCAATTCGAGCACCCAGCACATCCCATCGATTCTGCCGGCCACAAAACTGCACGCCACTCCAACCCGCAGAACATCTAACATCCTTCCTTTGCGTAAAGTGCTACCAACAAATATGGCGCCGGGTAATGCTGTGGATGGACGACATCCTTCACTACTTTGAAAGCATGGGAAACCTTTGGCTGCTGGTCTTTGCTGGGGAATCTTCATTCCAAGGTTTCTTAGGTGGTACAGGATTAGCGAGTTTATATGTGTAAATATGTGTAAGAGGCAAATGGAGGAGGAGAGAAAACAACAGAGAAAGAGAGCGGGAAACAGGGAGAGAGAGAGAGAGAGAGCGAGAGAGATAGAGAGGGAGGGAGGAAGGAAGAGAGGGAGAGGTGAGTGCGTGAGCAAGAGCTGAATTGAAGGAACACCAGAAGGAAACACCACCACTTGAGTCCAACTCCCAATTCGACCCCACCCTTAACAACCAAGTAAAGGGGTCTTCCCATGGGACACGTCCTTAAGAACCAAGCCAAGGGGTCTCAAAACCACGGCACCATCCGTGGCCTCCGCCCAGCCGCCCGCCCCAAAGTGAAGCCCAGCCAGACATCTCTACTCTTGGTATGGGAGCAAAAAACTTTGTTTTTTGCAGACCCCCAGTAAAAATGAACAGAACCAAAAAACAAAAAAAACAAAAAACATGCCAAGAACAGTGAAGCAGAGGTGCATTCAGCAGCAGCCGCTGCAGCTCTGAGCACCTCTCCAGGCCCTCGATCTTCCTCATGTCCTCGCGAATTCGACCCGCACACCGGCGGCTGGTCTCACAGCGTCCTCCTAAATTCTCGGTTGACGTTGGAAGGGGAGCAACAAAAATAACTGTTTGCAGTTAAGTGGGGAATTCAAACACTATACCACAATAAGCAAAAATGGAAAACATGTTTCCCAACAACAACCATGAATTGATGGCTTGGCTTGGTGCTTTGAAGGGTCATGGCTTGACCCCCACAAGTGAAGACATCCGCGTCTGGAATCGAAAGCGCAGGGTGTGGTCTTGAAAACACGGTGCCTTACTCTCGGTATCTGCCTTTCCGCAGGCGAGTTGTCGAGACCCGTCCTGCTGGATGAGGCAGACCTCGGCGATCAAAGACTGCAGCAAAGCAAAACTCACTTCCCGAGTGGACGGTACAACAAACTCCGAGCTTCTGGTAAAATGGTCCTCCCAAAAAGTGACTCAAGTCCAGAAACTCGTGGAAGTGAGAGAAGTATGAAACCAAACCCCAGGAGCCCTCATTTGAGGCCTTAAAGGAGGGTCTAAGGGGCTGGGAACTGTGACCTTAACACCAGAAATGGGGCTGGGAAAACCAGAAACGGGGCTGGGAAAATCCCCAAGGCCCTAATAAGCTGGGAAATGTTCGACCCAACTTATTACTTTTGTACCTCTCGCAGATCCTGGGCTCTTGGAGCAAATGACCCTCCTGAAATGCAACCCAATGGGAAGGCAACGAGGCGCTCGAGTCGACAGTGGCCTCCTCCAGCCTCGAACCACCCACCAAAAAGCGCAGAAAACGGGGGAAAAAAAGAAAACCACCCCCCAAAAAGCTAATGCCTAGGTTCTTCTAGGTCCTCCAGATTTGAGAGGTTAGAATAAGGGTACCATTTTTTTTCGGTTCCCTCACAACCAAAACAGTTGGGAGAGAAGGGCATGTCTGAAAGACCTAGTTATAGTGCCTACATGGGTGGCTCGTCTTTTTTAGGGACCCCCAAAATAGCCTCAGTTCCTTTCCTTTCCTTTTGGCTTTCCTTTCCACACAAAATGGGAATCTCCCTCAAAAAGACACACCCATATACTGGCATCCTACCTTAAAGTCCCCCAACCCCTGTTTTTCTAGTCTTTTGCATGAAAGGGGAAGCGACATCACAAGCGGACCCCAGCGGTTCCCCTGCCCCAATCCCATTCCGGGGATTGGGTCCCGCGGCCCCGCTCAGCTGCAGTTGCTTGGTTGACGTTGGGTTTGGGGAGCAAACCGATTCTGAAATTTTAGCAGTTAAGTGGATTTGGATTTCTGGGATTTTTGGCCCCGCTTCAACCACTAAACCACAAGAAGCAAAAATGTAAAGGAACAAATGTGTCCCAACAGCAACCATGATGTGCATTCGAAGCATGGACTGTGCGAACCAAGCTCCCCTCCTCGGGCATCTAAAAGAGACCCTTTATCATTCAGAAAACAGGTGCACTCTTAATGATTTCCTTGGTCTTCCAAGGACCCGCAAAAGAAGGGTCCTTCTTGATGTTGAGCTTGGTTTTCACATGGAACATCAGCCAAGGACCTGCCCTTTTGCCAGGGTGCGGGAAGATCAAGGTGTATGCTGATTCTGATTCCTATTCACTCTAGCCTCAAAACTGAACATCGCTTTGGGAAACTCGGAGACCCATCCAAAGCTGCCCGACCCAAAATACAAATCCCACCTTCCATTTGCTTAAGCCACCCACAAAAACAAAAACAGTCGTGATAGATTCCCTTTGAAACCAACAAGGGGACAATTTCACAAATGGGTATGAGTCAAAACAAAACCACCAGGGGACCCCAGGGTTTAGTCTTTGGTTCCATTTACCATGGCAGCCAACATTTTGGCTCCGCATTTTCGACCCATTGCCAAATCAGCTTCTGCAAACGGAATTGAGGCGCCGTCCAGCGACGTCAGCCCGCTGGATCTCAAAAGCCGAGCGGCGGAGTGAAGCTTCGGGAAGTAGCTCAGCGTGCGCATGCAGCAGTAGTCGTCCAGCACCTCAAGCACGCGCGAAGCGAGCGAACGCGCCAGCCCAACTCTTTTCTTGCGAATCCCCGGGAGCCTCAAGCTACCCTTTAAAAAGGGAAGTCTGAAAAACCGGGATTTTTGGGGAGGCTATAACCCATTCTGGGAGAATTTGGAGGGGTCAGGTAGACCTTGGCTAAAACAACATGTGAAAGCCGTTTAGCTTCCACCCTTTTGGGCCTTTCAGGTCACACCAAGGACCACTGGTCAGAGTCAGTCGAGGGAACGTTCGTCGCCACTTACTCCCTGGTTCCATAGGGACCTGTCCGGCTGGTTGCAGGTTTGGGAAAACTGCTCTTTTCAACATGAATCGATCTCTTGATTCGCTTTGGCCTTTTCTCTCGAAGGAGGCAAGCAGATGCATCAGGTGCTGGGTTTCCCTGGTGTATTCCCTGGTAAGCCGAGCTCCGCACCATCTCGAGGCTTGTGATGTTGTCCGGACGATTCAAATCCTGCAAGTGACAAAGCCCTAGGAATCCATTGGACCCTTTCCTATGAGGCCGTTCACCTCAAGACCATCACTTGTCTAAGGTTGCTGGCCCCTGAAGCAACAGCTGGCGCAATCAGGGTTCACCTCCAGTGTCCTTTTGGGAAAATAGATGGGTTTGCCTGGTAGATTGTCTGCAACCAGGTCAACCAGGAATCGCAATCTATGTTCTACCAAAACAACCAACAAGGACAACTGTGTTCACCTCTTGCCTCGGTTGAACCGGAGACCGTGGTTTTGCATAAAGCTCACAACAGGTCAACGATCGACATGCGAAAGCCGGTCTATTCAACGTGAGGCTTGAGGCCAGATGAATTGCCCTTCCAACCAGTATGGTTCACCTGCCCATCAAAATTACGCATGTTCCTTTCACCTATGCAGTAAACGCCGTTTTGCAATCTCTCTCACGTTGAAGCTTGAAGCTGTTGCATCTATCGCAATAAACCCAAGAAATCCTGACCAGCCTCATGTCCCAACCCTCCCCAAGCTGTGGCACTTCCAGAGATATCTTTGGGACCCACGGCTCGGGCCGAGTCGCAGCTTCTTGGGCTGCCCTGAGAATTCGACGGCCGGATGTTGGGAATTCCACCTTTGGCGCCTGAGGGAAGCCACCAAAAGGAAAAAACCGAAGGCCAAGTTTGGCGGCGGGTCAGAAAAAGTCAATCCCCACATGGAGCCGCTGGTACCTGGACCCTCAAACTTCCAACTTAAAAATGGGTTTGACCCCCAAAATTATGGTTGGTGATATCCCATTTTTATGGGTCCAGGTAGCTGGCGCCAAGCACTAAAACCTGTGGTTTTTCTGGTGGGAATCGCAAGGTGCCTAAGGCTCGGAGGCCGCGAGGTAGATTCTTAGGGTGCTGCATCGAGATGAATTCAACTTGCAGAGTTGGGTACCTTTTTTGCTCGGCCTGAGGGAATGCAAAAGGACTGAAGCCATTTGGCGGTCCCCTAAAAAGAGAGACACCCCTTTGGCACCGCAGTCGAAGTTGGTAGCCGACCCACCATGAAATTCAGCCACTCCGCAAGGTTGCTTGACCCGATTTGGAGGGCTACTCGCCATTTACTTGGCCGGTCATTCAAGCTGCTTCGTCGATCCAAATTGTTTGTAACTCACGAACCAAAATTCAACACCAAGGGGCTCAAACATACAGCTCGGGGTTCGTCAAGTTCTATGAAATGGACAACCAAAGCCAACCTGCACGCCCACGACGCATCCAGTCAACAACAAAGAATCATTAAAAAGCCTATTTTTTCTTTACTGTTTCGACATCCCGAAAGAGTTGGCTCCCGCCAGAACTTCGAACCGGACCATTTATGGTGCGGCTTACTTCAACGGACAACTAAAGGGCAAGAACAAAAAAATGAGCCCCCGATTTCCCGAGGACCCAAAAACTGAGGGCCTTTGACTAGACCATTCACGTGTCTGAGGTCTTCGGCTTTGAGGGTGATAAGACAAAATTCAAAAATGATGTTCGGTCTCACTGAACGGTAACCCAAAGGGTGAGAAGAAAAAAAAAGTCCCCTATTTGAGGCCGCCCTTTTTGGTCATATACCCAAACGGAAACCCAAAGGCCCCCCTTTTTGGGCTTACTTTAGAGCTACTTTAACAGAAACAAAAAAAGGGAAACCAGAAACCAAAAGGTCCCCTACTTTGAGGCCACTTTTTTGGGTCCGAAAAATACTTTAAAGGAAAACCGAAAGGGGGGAAACAAACAAAAGGCAACACAGTACCCAAAGGCGCCCAAAACCTTTTTGGGCGTCCTACCCTTGGTCTTACTTTGGAGCGACTTTAAGGGAAAACCGAAGGCCCCCTACTTTGAGAGACACACCCGCAGCGCAAAAAGGAACTCCGGTCCTCTTCCCGCAGGCCATTGGCCTCCAGCAGCCTCAGCAAGCCTTCCTCAAGCGGAAAAATCGGGTTGCGCAAGGCGCGGACATCACTCGGATTGGATCTCCCATTTGCAGTACGGTATGGGTCTCTCCCCCCTATGCTACGGACTGCTCAGGTCATTAACAAGAAAAAAAACCGGCGGAAGGGCGTCGGCGGTTTCTTTCTGCAGCTTCTCGTGTACATCAGGTGTGCCTCAATTGGTGGTTGGGGATTCGAACCCCTGCTTCCTATATAAGGTAAATGGGAAACTGCGCATTTACCACACCAGCAATCCAAACCTTCAGGGGGACGCTGATAAAACAATTCCTAGCATGTTGCTCCAATGCCAAGACAATTGGATTCATAAGGGCAGTGCATACACTGAGTGTTTGGGTATGTGAGCAAGCCCCACTTCCGATCGAATGGATGGTCCAAAAACAAGTAGGCCGAATGGTTGTTCTAAAGTTGTCTGCCCCCCCCAAAAAAAACTAATGTCCATGCACTCAGGAAGTGGCACCATCTTGTGGGAAGTGAAAGGAAAACCAGCAGGGAACCCGGGCAAAAACAAACTTGTTGGGCCTTTGACAAATGGACCAAGAAGGGGAAATCAAAAGGTCACAAGACCGATCCGTTTCGGGCAAAAGAGAAGATGGACTTTGGTGGCAACAGCCCCGTGAAGTATTCACCACGTAATCTCGGTTGCTTTCTGCTCCCCTGCAAAAAGAGAATATGTTTTAGTGGTTTGATTCGGAAAACCCACTAGTTGGCAAAAAGTTGTTCAGTCCTAACATCCCTTGGCAACATGCACCAAAGTACTGGAATCGTTGATTCATGTAGAGAAAGAATTGGAACCCCTGGGATTGAGCAAGGGGACCAAAAGCATGGAACAACACCTTGTGACACCAATCAACCTGAGAAATGAACACTGAGACGAAACCCCAAGTCGAAGCTTGACGGATCTTACGAATGCCGGCTTTGGCTTGTCTCCAAAAGTTGAAAAGTTAGATTTGAGTCAGAACAAAACTGGGAAGCTCATCACAAAGACAAGAACACGTGGGAGTCTGTGTTTTCTGTGGAAAACACAATTGGCCTCTGGTTTAAAGGGGAACCAGGAAACTAAACCATTTGGATATCCCCTGTTGGATGTCCGTGAACCGGATGATGTCAATCTCGGATTCATCCGGCGGAGCGAAGCATGGGGAGGGTTTCTATCTTGGCTGGAATTAGGACCCCAGCAAAAAACTAGATGTTTTGATTGGTTAGTGGAAAGCAAAGGGGACCCCAAAAAAGCAACAAATCAAAAAAGGGGAGCTAATTCTGGGGCAGGCATCTAGTACGGAAACAATCTACTTTGGTGGTTCCTCGAGGTGGGCTCCTCCGGATTTTCACCGGCCGACTGGCTGATGATTGGAAACGGATCCGTTTTGCGAGCGGAAACGCGATCCGTTGGTAAGTGAGAAGTTAGTGTTACGAAAAGAAGATGCAAGCATCTTGTTGGAAGATGAGATGTGGTAAGTAGCGTGGCGTGAAGTTGGAATTGCGTGTGTTGAGTGAGAATTGTAGGCCATCGGCTATCATTGCAGGTCTTGATGCAGGTCACCTCCCAAAAACCCGCCAGTTGATCCGTTGAAATTCAAGGCTCCGCCTTTGACCCAAGTGCTAAAGGCCCCGGACATAAAAAAGGGGTTTCATCTAACCACCATTCCTTACCCAAGGAGTGTCATCCTCCGAAAATTGGGTTCATGCCATTCTTTCAAGGAGGGTTGAAGCCCAGGCTATGTCTTTCCCACGAACCCGTGCCCCAAATGGTATCCTCCCCAAACCAACGGTAGACCAACTTGCGGTTCCAACTTCTTCACATCTTCAAAACTGGGAAGCAAATCCAAAGGATAGGACCCAGAAACTGGGTTGATCCCCCACAAAGCTGCCAAGGAAGTCCACCTGGACCCTCAAACAGCTCCTAAGAAAAGTCGGAATTCGCCCACCAGACTTGTGAGCAACCCATTCTTGGAGTATTTTGAGGGTCCAGGGAGAGGTCAAAGGTAGACAACTGACTGCCATGACCAAAACTTCGTGAACGGAATATACATATATAATCATATATATATATACATATATGTGTATATATATATATATATATAATGTGTGTGTGTATCAAAATAGGGCGATCGCAAAATGGCCAAACGTTTGTCCTTTTAGCTTCCCAAGCCAACCCAAAAAAGAGTACCGAGCCTCAAACAAACACATCTGCAAAATCATTGTGTGCGTGCCGCCAAACATGTCCCACCTTGAGGTCGCGTTCGCTCCAGTCATCTGGCGCGGAGCGAATGCAAAGAACTTGCTGGAAACAGTCAAACGCTTGCTTCCTTGCTGGGTTTGTCGAAAACAAACATGGTTGGCCACCAGTACTAGGTCCTCCAGTAGAGGGGTTAGAATAAGGGTACCCATTTTTCTGTAGTCTTCTCTAGTAGGGGAACCCTCCCCCAAAAAAGGAGAGAGAAGGGCACTACTGGGGGACCTTGAGTATGTCCAGAAACTTGGGAACTGCGGATGGGATGATATCAGCTCAGCAATCCTGCAGGTGGACGGCCTGAGCTGGTTGCTTTGGATGTCTCAATGCAGTGCAAAGACCCGGACCTCGGATTTTCAGGAAAACGAAGGACGTATTTGTTGGTTGGCTACTGCTCCAGATTGACATGAAACGCAAACAACCCTGTGTAGAGGAATTTCCAGGGTTCATGCTCATATGAGGAGTATCACTAAACAAGGTGACACAATCAAAGGCTGATGGTGTAGGTCCATATATGAACCCTTACCATTTTGCACCCTTGTGCTGATTTCCCACAAAGCCATAACTAGCGTCATAATTATCACCCATAAACTCGGGGTTCGTACAAGGGTTTCATTTGGACGCATACATTCAGCCCTGGAGGTTTGATGGAGAGACATGCACACACAAACACACATCCCCGCCTCGACCAGCCATGGCACCGCTCGCTCTTAGGCGACGAAAGAAGCTTAGTTGTTGCTGGCTTACACCTTCAGCGCGGTAAGCTCATGAATCCATTTGCTTTTTTCACCTGGGAAACATGTGCAAATAGGTCCTTTGTGGTGATTCCCTTTAAAGCCAACGGGGAAACAACATACTCCGAAACGCGAACAGGAGCATGAGGTGAAGGTGCTTTGGCTTCCCAGGCTCCAGCCACATGTTTGGTTGTTACATCACTTGGGGGAGGCATTCAGGCCATGTCAGTCCCTAACGTGGCAAGCACCACACGTGGCTTGCAGAGCTCATTTGCTTTGACACATCACCCCCAAGCTTGAGTCCGGCAGGGTGATATGAGAAGTTGCCAAGATGTTTGGCTCAGATGCCCAGTGGATTTCCATGGGAAAAAAGAATCGGCAACCCTTCCCCAAAAAGGGGAAAAAAGGGGAACCACTGGGCAACTGGGTTGGTGGTCTACACCTCAGGGGGAGGCAACCCACTGTGCCCCTTTTGGTGAAACACTTCTATGGCCATGGGTCACCATCCAAATCCCCCAGTGAACATCCCAATTCCCATTAAAATAGACTAACATGGGTGGTGCACCTACCCCAAAATGGTACCATCGGTTTTGACCCACAGCCATATTGTTTGGGCCCTATATTCAACATACTATCAGTGCTCTCAATGACCAAAGCGATCAGTGTCAAGGACCAAAAGCGATCACTGCTCCCAATTGACGGACCTTGCGCTTCAGCCCAGCACAACACAAGACGTCTTACCTGCTTTGAAAGATCTTTGAGAGAACCGTCAAGCAGCTGCTTCAGCAATTCCAGCACGGCGTGGTTTCGTGCAATATGAATCCAAAGGTCTTGCTCACCGTCTGCGATCAGCTCGCATGGGTACAATTGCTTAAACATATATCTATATTATATATATATATATACCTGGACCCTCAAACTACCCATAAAAATGGGATATCACCCCATAATTTTGGGGGTCAAACCCATTTTTAAGGGAACTTTGAGGGTTCAGGTATATATATATATAGATACATTGCTTTGCCTAGTCATTGAATGTGCGAATCTGCGCGTATTGAAGCAACCTGCAAATCCAGAATCGCCAAGTCAGCAACATTCGCGACGGCAAGCTTGCTTTCTCCCAGGCAAGCTCATAGAGGGTGTCAACCTCCATTCGCCAACGCAAGACATGTGCTTGCCACCAAATGGGTGTGGCTCAAAAATAAAAAGCCAGGGTTACGCAGTTTTAGTCTTTGGCTCCATTTACCAAGGTGCCATTTTGGGTTCCATTTTTGCGAGCCGCACGGACCTCAACATCTCTCAAAGATTACCAAGCCTCAAACAAGAATTGCACACCCACGTGGCGACGAATCTGCTTCAGGCCAAGATGGGACAAACATTCGGCCCCCGAATCGGTGATGGTGTCACCCAATGGATTAGTGACCATCCCCGAAACGCAACCCCAAGCCAAAATGGCCTTTGACCCATAGTGCAAATGGTCAGGTTGTCCAGGATTAATCACCCCTGATTGAGTATCCGGACAGAGTCCTTTCGAGAAGATCCGAACACTGTTTGGGATGTTTAGAGGAAATGTACCCCCTATGAAAAAAAACGGCGTGAAGAAGTCTATCCATGTCACAATATCCATGTAGGTGTGCCATTTCTAGGGGACTCCCAAACTGTTGGGTGTCCTTTCGGTCTTGCTGCAAAACCACAAAAAAAAAGCCACCACACAACACGCAGCCGCAAGGAGCATCCATTTTAATGTCTCGCGTGCAGCCGTGTCCCTGCTGTCCGGTCACAGGCTGAAAGGACCCGTCGGATCGCTATTGTGAGTCGCTCGTCGCGACAGCTTTTCTAGAGTCTGGAGTCATAATCAACCAGGGCTGTGGGAAATGACCACTTCTGTGATACAAGAGAAAGGGCTTCGCAAAGACTAACCCCACATAGAAAGGGGGAGATTCCCTTGTATCACACAAGAGGGTCAACCCAGGATGAATACACCCTACTTGTTAATATGTCTCTATATTTGTTTCGCCTTTGAAGGGGACCCCTTTCATAGCCT